ATGACTCTTTTACTCTGGGGAAGATTTTAGATCATTTGCCAAAAATTGGTTGATTTTGGATGCATAGGTTAACTTGAAGTGTTCCTATTTTTGTGTTTTTTTTGTGTGTGTGTGCGCCAGTATCACACTGTGTGGATTATAAGAGCTATGTAGTATATATTTTTTTACTTTTACTTTAAAAAATATTTCTTTTTATTATTATCATTTTATGATACATTTCCATAGATCATGGGATTTCCCTTATCCCCTCCCCAATTTCTTCCCCCTCATTGAGTTCCCTTCTATCTTTACTATAGTATAGTTCTTCATACACAGTCATATGTCCATCATTGCGGACAGGGACAATGGCAGAGAGTCCAGCATCCTGTTGTCAAGATATAGTAAACAGTTTCATTGGGAATCCATCTTTAGTCTGGAAGTAGACATGCACACTGCATTGCATCCTCACATCTGGATATGTTAGTCTCCATTACACAGTTACTATCCATCCCCTTAAGTGAAGATCCACAATACAATATCAGCAACAGGAAGCAAAATAGAAATTTACAATGACATGAAGCTAAATAACATGCTACTGGATATGATAGTCTCCATTACACAGTTACTATACATCCCCTTAGATGAAAAGACACAAAACAGAATCACCAACAGGAAGCAAAAAGAAATTTAAAATGCTATGAGGTGAAATAACATGCAACAGAACAACTAATGAATGTGTCACTGAAGAAATGAAAAAGAAAATCAAGAACTTCTTCAAGAAAATGATGCTGCTGTATGATCTATGAGTCACTGAAGAATATAATCAGAAGGAAGTGTTTTGAAGAGATGAAACTAAATTTTAAAAAAATGCATGAGATATAGTTTCTGCTGATCTTTGTTGGTGAGATATGTCTCCTGTAGGCAACAAATAGATGGGTTTTGCTTTTTCAATCCAGTTTTTAAATACTAGTTGGAGCAGGTCCCAGGACTAGGGAGACACCAGGTGGCCTATACAGCGAGGTTGTTTTTGGTGGTAATCTTGCAGCATTCTGTTGGCCATTAGGTCTGAGGTCACGTGGACCTATTGTGACCCACACACTGCCATAGTCCGTGTTATTTTCCTGTGAGACCAGAGCAATGCACTGAGCTCAGTGAGTGCTCGCCGAGCTCAGCGCATGCGCAGCTCATTGTTGTCCCTGCAGTCTTAAGTTCTTTGCCACACTGTAAGAAATGGCTCCTGATGTGCCATTACTAGAGTTCTTGATCTGCTGGAGGTCTGAGGGCTACCTGGACCTGTCTTGGGTGTAACCTGTCCTGGGTGTAGGATACCACATCGCTGCAGGTCACTGAGCCAGAAATGAGTTCACTCCCAACTCTGTTCATGGGCAGGCCTTTCCCTTATCTTTGTCTCCTTAAACAAAAACAAAATGGCACCTGATTTGGCTCCAGCAGGCAGACTGGATTATGAAATCCACCCTGGTCCCAACCGCCTGTCTGGTACCTACCGTTCTGTCTCTGCTCCTGGTCAAATCAAACAGACTAGCAGGACAGGAAGTTCTTTGTCTGGGTTCACCTCCTGAACTCTTGCGGAAAGCCTCTTCCCATGTGGGAGACCCCGAGGGAGTTCCAGGTTCCTGGCTTCAGATCAGCTTTGCTTTGGCCATTACTGCCACTTGGAGAGTGAAGCAGCAGATGGAAGATATTTCTGTCTGAATCTCCTTTCCACTGTAAATCTAGCTTTCCAGTAAAAAAATAAATTAAGTCTTTAAAAAAATGCATTGTCCAGAAAATAGTTCTTTGATGAGTGAAATCTGAATGCATGGCCCAGAAATACTGGAGAATTTATCTTAGTAAAGTTGACAGATACGTTCAAATTATTTCCTTTTGTAGTATCTGGATGAACTGTTCCCAGAACAAAAATTTGGAATTATTATGATACTATTGTGTACTTCTTTTAACTATTGTCACTGTGGTGGCCAGCCTTCTATTTGCAGACTATTTAGAGAAATTCAGCTAGATTCTTAAATATAGGAAAACTATCTATCTTTAATTACGAATAAAATTTATTTCCAATCCTGGAACTCCCCCTATACTATCTCTCCACCTGAGAGCATTTCTACCCCATTGACCCAGCTATCATCCTCTTGGGAATTTACCCAAAGGAAATGAAATGAGCAGACGGAAGGATTACATACACTCTCCTGCTCGAAGCAGCTCAGGTCAGAACAGTTAAGATAGGCAACCAACCTAGATGTCCATGAACTGATGACTGCCTAAATGAAATGTTTGTATGCACAGAATGGAATATTACTCAGCTCTAACAAGAAGTGAAATCCTGATATTTGTTACTGAACAATTGGAGTGAGATCATTACACGAAGGGAAATATTCTGGATCCAAAGAATACCACATGTATTCTCTCATTTGTGGTAGTTAATATGTAGCTAGAGGATGAAGCTTCTCTGAAGAGCAGCTAATGTTAGATAGTTACAGACACTGCTTTACTGAATCATATTATGTGAATGACAATACACTCTGTTTAAGAAATGGAGCAGAGGAGAAGAGTGGGGGTTCTCGGGATCCCAGCAAGTCGTTCATACTTCAGATGTTACGACTGTCATCAGATCACACACACACACACAAATTGGAGCTGGTGTTATGGCCTGCCAGATAAAGCCACACTCTGTGGCACTGGCATTCCTTATGGGCACTGGTTCATGTTCTGGCTACTCCACTTCCAATCCAGCTTGCTGCTAATGGAGTCAGTAGTTGTGTGCTTATATATATATAAAACATATAAATCACTTTGAAATTTCAAAAACACGCCAGCAGAGCTAATATATACTATAAACTAAAGGCTTCTCCAAAGAATATTTCATCATGTGGCTCTTGCGCACACCCATGGGTGTTGTGGTTCAGCTTAACCTGAACTTCCCCCAGATCTGGCCCTCATTTATGCCAACAGGTGCTGCCACACTGCCCTGCCTCGTCTGCCCTCAGCTCTGGTTCTCATTTTCACCAGTATTAGGTACAGCTAACAAAGGAATGTCCACAGTTTCCCAGCTCTGGATCTTGCACCTGCTAGGGGGTACCATGCTTCAGCCTTTACGTGACTTTGACCCAGTCATGTCACTTGCCAACTGGTACTGCAGCCTAGCCCAGCTGGCACACACCCATTCTGGCTCTCATGCATGCCATCAGATGTGGCAGCTTAGACCAGCTTTGTCCACCACCGGTCCTAGCTGTCATGTTCACCAGCACAAGCAGCAACCCAGCAAAGTAGTCCCTAAAAGTTAGGGAATTTTAGGATAGTCCAGACAGACTTATAACTCTAACATGCCAAATGTTAACAACTGAGGAGCAGAAAGGTTTTAGGAGGGGTGTGCAGAGAAATCTTCAATACCTTAATGAAGAGTAACTAACCTTTATATATGGCAGTCCAAGCTGACTGTCTCCTGTCTGTTCTAAGCTTTCCTTATTGGTCTCTGTCTAACTGATCTAATATTTTAGGGCTCCGGAACGACCCTGATGGTCATTGCAAGAGAAGGTGGGGAGCCAAAGTTGGAACTAAGTAAGGACCAAAGAAAGCTCCTCTCCTGAGTCCCAAAGGAAGTTTACTGTTCTTCTGTTTCTGAGGACTGCTCAGGGCTCCTGGCTGTTGTTCTGCTGACATTAGTTCTTGTGAGGAAGGAACTGTTTTTTTCCATCCCATGTGGGAGATCCGAAAGGGAATGGATGACCTCAGGATTCTCAGCCTATGAGGGCACTCCAATTCCCCGTGGTCTCCTTGGCAGTTGTGATGTAGTCCTTGGTACCCGTACTGATAATCCTTGGTGAAGATCTGGGAGTCTCCAGGATTGGGATATAAGCCTCCTCCTGCCCTCCTGCTCCACTCTGGGGTCCACCCTCCCCCCCTGCTCTGTGCATATGACCTCCTGTTAGGAGGCTGTCAGGATTGCTCTTGTATCCCACTGTATGTCTTTGTAGTTTTTGCTAATGTCTAATGGTGATTCGAGTCTGCTGTCTGTAAGTTACCTGTTGCAATCTTGATAGGTTATACTTAACATCTTCCTCACACACTCCGAGAAGGTGCAAGATTTCTCTGCTCTCCCGACCTATTATGGAATAACATAGCATCCCACTGATCTTTAAAGAAAAAGGAAAAAAACAGAAGAACAAGCAACTGTGCGTGCGTGCAGATATAGTTAACATAAATTTGACCTTAACCAGGCCTAGAATACCTGCCAGCCGCTGGCTTCTTTTCTCCCAGCAGTATAAGGAAACCTAGGCAGTTGCCTGCAGCTGGGGAATTTTAACGCTCTTGTTTCATTTTTAACCATTTTCTACAGCTTGAAATCATCTGACTTGTTTTTCTTTGATGCATACAGGATGCTGGCTTCACAGACCCCACAGCGCATAGGTTTTTCTGTGTTTTCTTATTTGTGCTCCTTTAGTTTCATTTGCTTCGAGTAATTTTTCTTTGCAGCGGTGCTCCTACTCAAGCTTCTCACATGTTTCCTTTGTGTGGAATGATGGACTCTCATCATTCAGGTTTACTCACCTACAGGTATCCCAATCTGCTGTCATGCTTGTACTGACTCGAACATTGTAATGATGGAGTCAAATACCGAATTTTACTTAGTAAGCTTCTCTGGAAAGATGAAGTTTGCCACAAAACTTGGGAAAAGAGCATCGGAGAACATACGTATTTTTTTCTGACTGATACAGTTTCATTGATGTAGACTGTCTCATTATTCCAAGGATCCCACCTAAAGAGGCATTGGCATGTGGTTTAATCTTTCCTGAGGGTTCCCCACACTAGTTTGCTTTGTGAACAGAGCATGGATGAAGGCTATAATGAACAGATATAAAAGTTTGACACTACTTTGTTGCAGATTTAGAAATCCAAAGTAGACAGAAATCTTGAGACTTTCTAATAATTATTTGGAGGAGTTAATATAAATTATTGATTTGTTTCTTTCTAAAGTTTGTTTTCACTCTGCATTGTTTTGGATTCCCTAGGGACAGATATCCTACATAATTCCAATTGACGAGACACTGTACACTGTGAACCTCAAGCAAAGGTAACTGTTTTATTCACTGGCTCCAGATTTTGTTTTTATGAATCTGTTTACTCATAAGAAGGAGCATGAAACACGATGCAGCTGTTACTAACAAGTAGTTCCTCCTTGGTGACTTCATGAAAATTTTGCCCACTGCCTCAACTAGTGTTTTGCAATTGGAGATTATAAACATGAAGATTAGCACCCGCTTCCTGATGACTCAGCTGCATGATGCTAAGTTGGCTGGACCAGCAGGAGCTATATACCAGGGGTACAATATCATGATACGTAAGTCTGTGGCTTGTTCCGTCACTTGCGTTTCATCAGAGAGGTGGTGCCATCATGAAGGTATAGAATAAGAGCTTTAATACAGCAGATTTTGCACTATGGGATGGCTGGTGAATAGTTTATAGAAAATAATACTAGGTGTGTGTGTGTGTGTGTGTGTGTGTGTGTGTGTGTGTGTGCACAAAGCTTAGTTCTTTGTCAAAAACCTAGATGAGAAATGCTGGCTTGGAACTAATTTGTGACATTCAAGAGGAGATCTCAGTTCAATTTTGAAAGTGGAACTCAAATGTATGGTGTTAGGGAGAGACAGTGTTAGGGAGGTAGTAAATATTGAAAAAAGAAAAAGAGAACTTCAGAATTACTGGGCAGAGAAAGGAGAAAGAGGAGGCTTAAAATAATGCGTTAAAAAAAATCCACAGCGATGGCCAGGAATGAAGAAAAAACTTTTTAATGAAGGAAAAAAGGAAGCTTTTTGATTGTGGGGAAGGTTTTTTCTTAAAGATCTATTTATAATTTGGAAGGCAGGATTACAAGGATCACAGGGAGGAAATGGGGTGGAGAGTGGGAGACAGAGAGAGAGAAAGAGAGAGAGAGAACTTCTATTCACTAGTTCACTCACCAAGTGCTCACAGCTGAGTTGACCTGAGTCCAGAAACCAGGAAACCAGGAGCTTCTTCAGGTCTGCCCGCGTGGGTGCAGGGGGCCAACGACTTGAGCCAACCTCTGTTACTATCCTAGTTCATAACTGGGGAGCTGGATTGGAAGTGGGAGCAGCCAGGAATTGATACTGTATGCTGATGCTACAGAGTGGCTACAGTATTAGCCTTTGGAGTCCTTGCACCACCCCACTTATGGTAAAGTTTTCTAAAGAGAGAAATGAAAGGGGTGGCTAAAGTGATTAACTGCATAAGATGCAAAGAATTCGAACAAACAAGGAGTTATCTTTTAAAGAGAAGGAGAACATGGTAGAGCACAGCTTCAAAACTTAAGAGTTTAGGAGGGAAAATGAGAGGACCCACATTGCATTTGAGCATTTCATCAGCCCTACTAACAGTGCTAAGAAATGAAGTGGAGTTTGAGATATTGATGAGGCATGGGTATGTTGTTTTGTTACCTATGTGATTAGCGTGATAAGCCAATGGCTATTAAGAAATTGTTGCAAATAACTTAGAATAGAAACAATGAGAAGCAGAACTATGATGGTATAAAAGTAGAGATTTTTTTCCTCCTAAGTTACATTTCTGTGACAGAAAAAAAGAATGTGTTTCAAAAATGATTTGATACAGTACTAGAAGGAATTTAGTCAGACATACAAGGGGGCCAGACCTCAATCAGAGAAAATAGGATTTCTCTGTGGGAGAAAGCTGTACAGATGTGCTCATGGGACAGCCAGGGATAATGTCCAGTTGATAGCTGATTTAATATAGAGACATGGGAGAGAGGTGTGGATTTCAGAATCCTGGTATGATCAAAAAATAAAACTCAACAAATGCGGAATACTACAGATTTTTAATACAGAAAAATCTGAAAAGAAATTAAGAAACTTGCCAACTATGCACAAAATAAATGTAAGATATGTAGGGATACAACTTAAAAATTTGCTATATACATACAGATGGAGGAAGGGAAGGAGGGAGACAGCCCTCCCCCACATTTCTTCAATGACAGGGACTGGGTCATGCCAGAGCCAGGATCCAAGAACTGAATCCAGATCTCCACATGGTGGCAGGAAACCAGTTCCTTGAGGCATCGCTGCTGCCTGCCTTAGCAGGAAGCTGAAGTCAGGAACTGGGCATCAAGCCCTGATTTCTCACATGGAATACAGGTGAGACCACTCACCCCCATCCCCCATAAATGGATCCAAGAGGTGAAATCAGAAAGCTACAAAGCCCGGACGAAAGAACTGGAAGAAGATGCAAAACAAATAAATAAAAGGCACTTCATTTTCATGGCTTGCAGAACTAATATTTCTAACTTGCTCCTTCTACTCAGCGTGGGTCTACAGATTTGATGTATGCTACCAAAATGTGAAGTATATTTTTCATAAGAAATTAATCCTGAAATTAATGTGGATGTGCCAAAGGTCTTAAATACCCAAATGAATCGTTAGCCATAAAGAAGAAAGCTGGAGGTATCACATTGCTTAAATTCAGAATATGCCTTAGATGCTCAAGAAGGCTCAATAGCGAGAGGCCGAACATTGACCTCAGCCACAGAAACACACTGGAAGGACAGAGAAAGCCCCATGCTCCCAGAGGATGATCGAGCGACATTTCTAGTGCAGAATGGACAGAGCACACGCCTTGTCGAAAGGCGAGGACAAGACAGAGATGCACCACCAGCTGCTGGCCTCCAGTGACTTCCACGAACACTGGATTGGCACAGAGCTGGGGATTGCTGTGTTCCAGGACAAGGTGAGAGAAAGCTGCCATGATCTCTGCAGTCGGTCGCTTTGACCGTGTGAGAACACTGAGGTCTCACTGGTTTTGAATCTTGCCTGATTTTTTGACAAATGAGTTAAAGTCACTGAAGAAAGTAGTAATCATTTATTGGATGCAAGTTCATGTTCCAGCTACTTCAATTCCAACCCAGCTCCCTGCTAATTGCATGAAAAAGCAATGGACGAGGGCATGGCTGTTGGGGCCCCGGCCACTACATAGGAACCTGGCTACTGTGGCCATTTGGGGGAATAGGTGAATGGCTGGAAGATTTCTCCCTCTCCCAGTCTCTCCAATTCCTTCTGTAACTCTTTCAAAGTAAGTAAACACACCTTTAAAATAATATCACAAAACTCATCTCTACACTGAAGTGCCTTTCATCACCTATGTACTGAATTTTAATGATTTGATAAAAATATACTGCAGAAGTATCTTTTTATACTAGACATAAATTAAGTCACAAAAGTGAACTGAATCAATCTGTTGAGGTCGGGCTGAATGTCAAAGGTGCAAGAGAAAACAAGCTATAATTGAGTAATGGGAATAAATGAGAACATAGAGGATGAAGGAAGTGTGTGTGAAAATGAGTCTGAGCCTTATGCAATGCTTTTTCACTTTATTATGAAAGTACTACAATGACACAGCTGTAGGATTTACGTTGAAGCATCAGAGAACTTTGAGTCCTTTGCCCAGGATGTGTCTGAATTTTAAAGCTCTTTTTCTTCTGGTACTTCAGGCTAATCTGGTTTTCTTTAGAGAGTCCATTAAGTTAGGAAAGTTTGCTTTATTGTAATAAATGTGTAATTGGATAAAACTTAAATGTGCATGGAATGGAAAAACTGCTTTTATTCAAGGGTTACTAAATGCTTTCCCCAAAGACCCATAGAATAAATATTTTAGGCTTTGAATGTCATATTGGCCTCTGTCAAAAAGACTTACCTCTGCTGTTGCAGCTGAAAATAAGCCAGAGTCAACATATAAATCCATGGCTATGCCTTTGCTCCAATGAAACTATTTGCAAGCACAGAATGAGTCAGATTTGATCTGAGTTTGTCAATTTATTGATTGTTTATATGTTTCCGAGAGAACAATTCATAACATGCTCTGTTTCTTATATTTAGATATTTTTTAGCAGACGATTTTATGGTTTATCTGTATAGTCAAGGATCTGTGAGTGCTCTTTCTTCAGATATTCAGGTAAGACTTGTATTGTGTTTTTATAGAATTGTATGAAAAATGTAAACATGATGAACGGATATGTTGCTGGTATATCTGCTCTCACTAAACGTATGTTTAAGGAGTACATGGATGAATTAGTAGGCTTTTTAAGATCTTAAGCGAAAAGACAATCTAGATTGACTTAGCATCTTTCACAATGTCTAGAATATAGGTCCTATCTACTTATTTATATTTTATGGATTAAATGAATATATATATGTTTAAAATCTATTCTAAATTTACAGGCCAAATCAGCCATAAATCTTATCTTGGAAATAGTTTAAAGTAGGTAGATCCCAGTTCCCACTTTTATCTCAGTATAAACAAGGGATAAACAGAGCAATCATATCTCGCTGTACAGTCCAACTCACCTGTACATTCCAATATGTTTCATTCCTAGGTGTTCTATCTCAACTGCGACATGTCTGCATAAGCATATGATGTTTGTGGTTTTGAAAATGACTTATTTCAGTAATCACAATGGCTTCCAGTTGCATGCATTTTGTTGCATAAGACAGGATTGCATTATTATTTTTTTTATGGCTGAATAACATTTCATTGTGTATATACACCACATTTTCTGATCCAGTTGTCAATTTATAAACATCTAGGTTGGTTCCATATATTAGCGATTGTGAACTGAGCTGTGGTAAACATGGGGGTCAAACGGTTCTTGGATGTGTTTTTTCCCTTCATTTTAGTTAGGTAGATTTCCCAACAGTGGGATGGCAGGTGTATGTTCAGGTTTCTGAGGACTGTCCACAGTATCTTCCACAAGGGTTGTACCAGTTTACACTCACATCAAGGGTGGATCGGGCATCATTTTCCTTCTGTCTTCATGAGTGTTTATTGTTTTGGGATCATGGCCATTTTATCTTGGCTGAGGGAAACATCACTGTGATTTTTATTTGCGTTTGTATGGCTAATTATCTTCACTATTTTTGTGTTTCTTGACCATTTGTATTTTATTTTGTAAAAATTACCAGTTTGTGTCCTCTGGTCGTTTTTTAACTGGATTGTTTTGTTGCTTTTGAGTTTCTTGAGCTCTTTATAGATCCTGAATGTTAATCCTCTCTCAGTTGTACATTTTGCAATTGTGTTCTCCCATTCTGTTGGTTGTCTCTTCACTTTGTTGATGGCTTACCATTGCAGTGCCAAGGTGTTTGAGCTTGATACAAACCTTGTTGTCTTTATTGCTTGGAGCTTTGCATCAGACAATGTCTTGCAGAGTTTCCTTTGTGTTTCCCTATAGTAATCTGATGACATTAAATCATGGATTGAAATCCTTGATTGGTTTTAGATTGGCCTCTGGGGAAGGTGCCTGGTAGGGGTTTTGCTTCACACTTCTGTAAGCACAGAGCAGATTTCGCAGAGCTATTTGTTGAAGAGACTGTTCTTTCTCCAGGGTTTGATTCTAGGGGGTTTGCCAAAGATTGCTTGATTGTAGACACACGCATTAATTTCTGAGGTTTCTATCTTCCTCTATTGGTCTACGTGTCTAATTTTGTGCCAGTAGCACATTGGTTTGATTCTAACTTTCTTATAGTACGTGTTTAAGTCTGGTATTGTGTGGTAACTCAGGTTTTGCCTTTTTTTTTTGCTTAGCTGATTTTAAAAATATAAAGTCCCCCAGACTTTATAGTTGTTATGCAAAATACCATAGATGAATACTGTCTCCTTTTAAAAGTATAAAATAAACTAGCAAGACATGTGAAAATAGGCAAGTTTCCATTAAATAAATGAAATGAAAAATTTTAAAAGAGAAACTTTCCATGTCATTTGAGGAAGGGGAATTATTATTTTAAACAATATTTAAGTTTGTTAAGCAAACTAAAAAAGGCCTTATGAAATGTTTAACTTTTGTCAGCTTCAGGGTTTATGTGGCTCCCAACTTTTGCATGTATGGAACTTTCAGACGAGATCGGGCATGGTCAGGGTGGTATGGCCGTAGACGGTGTGGAACTTTCAGATCTGCTAACACTCGATGAATTGATTCCACTCTGGATTCTTTTTTCTTGCAAGTTTCCCTTTGCCTCTTCTAACATTTGCTGCGTTTTGTGAGTGGGTGATGAAAACATCACCAATTTCGAGAAGGAATCAATAAGCGGTTGTCATTTGTAAGCAAGATTTCATCGGAAGCATCTTCTGAATTTTGGAGTTGTTCCCTTTTTACTTCTATTTCTTCTTTTAGCTCTGTGATTCTACTCGTATTCGGTGCAAGTTTATTTATCTTTTGTTGATCTTCAAAAATAACTTTGACATATTCTGAGGCTGCCTTCCTCATGGTGGCCGCCATCTTAGGGCTTTTGTATTTCCATGTGAGTTGTAGCCTCATTGTTTTTTTTTTTTTCTGATGTGAGAGGAATATAGTCAGTGTTTTGATTGGGATCACACTGAATCTGTATATTACTTTTGGTAGTGTGGACGCTTTGATGCTACGGATTCTGCCAGTTCACGAACATGGAAGAGTATTACATCATCAGCGTGCCTTCTGCTTGCTCTTTGTTTAATGTTTTGTGATTTTCATTGTAGAGATCTCACACATCTTTGGTTAACCTTATTCTGAGATATTTAACTTTTTTGCAGTGCTTTGTGAGTGAGACTGATATCTCGAATTCTTTCTCAGCTATGACATTGTGTATAAAAAAGCTATTGCTTTTGTGTGTGGTTATTTTATGTCCTATAAGTTTGTCCTACTCTGAGTTCCAATAGTCTCTTAACTGTTTCACTGGTGTTCCTCTTTTTATTCGGGAATACAGATGCCCCTGCAATGTATCTTCTCTTGGGGTATGCTAGCCTTCATTATGAATAGCCTTCCTTTAAATCTGTTAGTATTTGGTTCATGTAGCTATGCCCTGGCATTTGGTGCATGTATGTTATCTTATTTGTTCTTGCTGAATGGATCCCTTGATCATTATTGGCTTTCTTTGTCTCTTTTCATGTTTAAATCTGTGTTATCTGATATTAGAAAGGCTAGACCAGCTCATTTTTTCCTTTCCATTAGCCTAGAATACCTTTTTTCATCCTTTCACTTCCAGTTTCTGTGTATCTTTGGAGGGGAAGTGTGTTTCTTGCAGGTATCAGATGGACAGGTTTTGTTTTTTTGACCCAGTCTGCTGATCTATGTCTTTTGTTTGATGAGTTTAAGCCATTTGTATTCGGTGTTAACATAGAGAAGGGAGTGTTTTGACCCTATCACTTTAGCAATGGGTTTCTCATGGTTTGATTTAGGGTTTTTTTTTTTTTTTGTGTGTGTGTGGTTTTATTGAGATGTTCTCCACTTTTGTTTTTGAATTGGCAATCAGTAGCACATATTTAAGCAACATTTGTAAGGCTGGTCAGGAAGAGGTGAGGTCTTTCAGTTTTTGTTTGCTGTGGACATTTTTTTTAACTTCATTTTAAAATACAAATGAGAGCTTTGCTGGGCATATTATTTTGTGCTGGCATTTTTTTTTTCTTTTAGCATGTGGAATATGTCATTTCATTCTCTTCTGGTCTGTAGGGTGTCCTCTGAAAATTCACCTATGAGTCTCATTGATGGTCCTGTAAGAGTTATTTAATGTTTCTTGCATGTACTTTTCTGCATCTTTTAAAAAATGATCAACCAGAGAGAGCTTGATTTTGATGTGCTATGTATGGGAGCAACTTGAACCTAATTTGAATGGATTTTGTGGGGTGTCCAATCAGAATTATTTTCCTGGTGGGACCAGCGAAATGTGTTGAGTGGAGGTGGGGTCTGCCCCAGCACAGTGCATGCCCTAAAACCCAGTGGTTTTGTGGAGTACTCACAATGGTGCCCACCATGGCACTTGGGGTGGTGAACTTCACTCCGCTCCCACACCTGTCTGCTGTGGTTTGGTTTGTGATGGACTTTAAAGAAATCACTGTGACTCCCTATTCTGTGGCGTGATTTGTCTCCTGTTCTCCTGGTGACCCCCGCTTCTGCCTGTCTGATGGTGCAGCTCTGATTATTGCTGGGACTTTGTGCACTGTAGCAGCACGCTGCTATTTCTGCTGCTTCCCCATGTTCATGGCCTGGTAGCTGGGACTGCTTCATCTCTCCTTCTGCTTGGCTCTTTCTTCTTCATTTGCTTGAACGGTGTCCTTACCCTATTCTCCCATCTTGCTCCATATGCCAAATTATTGTCTTTATGTAACTACAAAAAAATAAAATAAAAAAATAAAACAACAGCCAGCTGTTAATTTCATTGATCTGTTGCATCTTTTATTTATTTTGGTTTCAGTTTTGTTGATTTTAAATTTTAATTATTTGTTTCTTCCTGCTGTGCTTGTTTTTCTAAATCCTTGAAGTGTTGATGCATCACTTATTTGATGACTTTCTGATTGCTTGGCGTGGGCACCAATCACTACCTGTGATGACCTTCCTGTTAACATTGCTTTTGTTGTATCACGTGCATGTTTTGAATGATTAGCAGCAGTGTTTAACATCAGACACATAGAACTTGCAATACAAAAGTGCAATTTTTGAACTGGGAAGCCGTATTGTGACAGCAACAAGCAGCAACCTTGGTGTAGCCTTTTCTGATTAAAAATTTTTTTTCCTATCAGACGAAAGGTAATCACCGTTTAATCAGATTACCATGATTAGTTATCCATGCCTTAAAGTGCCTCCTGCCACCACAATGAGCTTAGCCAAATCCTAGCCAGAGAGGTGTGTTAGCTATGGGCAGAGCATTTCCTGCCAGCATTAGATCGTGGGCAAAGCTGGAGGCTCACGTGCCCCCCCACTCTGTGGGGTCTGCGTTGCAGAGAGAAGCCCTGCTGCAGTGGAAGGGTGGCAGGACTGGAACACCCGGGGTCAAGTCAGGTGGAGAGAAGCAGTTAGGAGAGAATGATGTGAAGTACACAGCGCAGAAGCTCGCACTGGGGTCCCTGCTTTCCAAAACTGTCAGCCTTGAGCCTCGGCTGGCATGAATTTAGAGCAGACATGTTCCACCCACTGGAGTGTTTGCTTTTAGCCCAGGTCATTGCCTGAAACCAAAAGATATGATTTCCACCACTAGCCATTACCATAAAGACTTTTTCAACTTCTGAGAGTAAGTTTTCTTTTCCTGTCTACATGTACAATGATGAGTCTTTAGAATCAATGGTTGGAGAGCTGTGGTTTTTCTGTCCTAACCTGAAATGTTCTGTGCCATCCGGCTATGTCTGGTCCTCTTTCTTCTGCCTCGCCAAGTCTGTTGTTGACGCTTCCACTATAGTTCATATTGGACACATTCAGTCGTCCATTTCTAATGTTTCACTTTTATTTCTCTTGAAATTCCTGATCTCTTGGCAAAAGTTACTCATTCATTTAGTGTATGCACTTCTTTATCTCATTAATTTGCTTCTGTGTATTTTTGAGTATTTTTATGATTTTTTTTAGTTTTTAACCTTTAGAGATTTCATAAATATATTCTTTATGCTCTAATATCGAAGTGCTGTTGCGTTCCTATGTGGGGGTCATGTTATCTTCTCCATTGCTTTCTGTATTCTACATTTATAGGCACTTGTGGAAACACTTGTTTGTTTTCTCCTCTGATGGCTGTTGTTTTTGAACTGTGTCTCTGTGATTTAGCGGTCTGTCTGCTCCCTTAATGGGCATCTGTGGGTGTGTTCCGAGTGTGAGCTCTGTTCAGCCTCAAGTGTTGGGTGAGAGTCTATGGTGGCGCCCAAGTTGGGAATGGTAGATCTCTGTTGACAGAAGGCAGGTGTGAATGATCATGTGTGCTTGATGTAATCATAGCACCACCTGCTCTCCTTCAATCTGATAAACCCACAGCTGACACAACCTTCACCCCTTGCCAGCACGTGACCCCACAGAGGATGTGTGATGTCCTCAGTGTGAACACAGAGTCTTGCAATGATGCTCCTCTGGGGGTCTTTGAGTCTCTGATGTCCGAGACAGTGATTGCTTGGAAATCCAGCTACATGCCACACCCTATCGTGCTGTCACACAATGGCCACAGTCCATGGAGTCCAGCAGCTTCACTCCGCCCCTCCCCAGGCCTGCTGCTTAGCTGGAGACAACAGATAGGTTCCCAGAACCAGCCGCCTACGTGTGCTCTGCCTTACAGTCTAACTGGGTGCCTGACCAGCCTGCCACCAAGCTTCCATGCTTGACTTAAAGTCAGTGGCCTCTGCTAAAATCCGTAGTTCCGTGTGCATGCGTAAGGGTGTGATGGAGTGCTGTCTCCCTGATGGCTGCTAGGTGGCATTGTCGGGCAATGGGGGAAAAAGAGATGCTTTCCTCCGCTATGGTGGGTATGTGTGTATTCTATTCCCCTAGTTACTGCTCCGTGCTTGACCCCGAGTCAGTGTGGTCCGTAAGGTTCCACCTCAGCTAATATCAATGACATTGGCCACGGCAGTCTGCTTACTACATTTAAGGTTCGCAATCTTTACCTCCTAATTGACGAATTACGCATATATAAATAAATACACATATATAATGCATAAAATTCGCCTATATAAACGTGAAAATCGCGTTATCTGAAACATGAGTTAACATTTTGGAAACAGATCATAAAGAATCTAAAAGGAACAGTTAGTATAGTTAAATGGTAAACACCTGAAGATTTTTTCTTCCACTGTCTTTCATGCTATTGTGAACCCAGGTAGCCAGCTTGTGAAAAATATTCTGAAGGTTCAATTAAATAGAGAAGTTGAGAACCTTAGAATGTTGTTTGTTTGTTTTGGTTCATAAATAATCAGGTTCTTTCTTTGCTAGCCTCACTGCTACTATCAAGGATATATCGAAGGGCACCCAAATTCCATCGCCACACTCAGCACGTGCTCTGGACTCAGGTGATTTTTTTTTTTTTTGTTTTCTGTCTTGGACTTCAGAACAACGTAGTTAGGATGTTTGACTAGAGAACACTTGGTGTTTGTATTGAGCGCCGTTACAGTGAGATCATTCCATGGCACCCTGCTCTTCCATCTTCCTCCTGTATCATTTCTTCTCAGGTTCTTCACTGACCAGAGACATTGCTAACTTGATGAAAGGTTAGATTCCGTTTTCCCCTTGTTTGTCTGTTTTGTATTTAGTGCAAAAATGGCAGCTGGAGAGGCTTGCTTGCAATAAGTTGGAGAAGCTAAATTTAGGATAGTTTTTTTTTTCAACAACGAGTATTTATTATCCCTATCATGTTATCACGTCAAGTATTGCTTGGAGATGTAAGAGCAACATGACTTCCCCCCCCCCCCCAGTCATCTTCAGAGGGATGAAGCAGATTAGGATTATATAATAACAGTTATAACTCATATATTTTTAAATTTCATCCTCATGGACTCTACATAAATTATTGTTTCCTTCTTGGTGCACCGAGAGTTTTCTATTCTGTTAGAGAGTTATCCACCTTTGTTTTGTAGTGCAGGAGCTCTTTTTTTATTTTATGGATTTCATGTATTCTATAGGTACAATTCTTAGAAGATAAACATATTTCCTTCCCTTCCCGTGTCTCACTTCATCTCTCTCCTTCCTCTCTTCTTTTTAAAATTTTGCCAAAAAACATGATTTCAATGCACCCTATAATTGCAGTCTTACCACTAACCTTAACATCCAACGTAAAATGACCACACGGTAAGACACAGAATGACCACAGTCTCATACAAGTATGGACAGGAGCCCTGGTTCCATAGGTTTTCTACAGCACTTCTCATTCGAAGCTCTGACACTTGGAGCTGAGATTAGTTTTTTTTTTCAGGAGGGAGAAGTAATGATTTGAATTATTATCTATATCCAGTAAAGAAGAGTTCTACAATTTTTTTTTACTCTTTAGAATGTACTTTACTTTCCTATTAGAAACATGTTTCTAATAAAATTAATGTCATCTACAAGTACTGCTAGATTCTGTTTTGATCAGCACAGTTTCTAATGGTGTATATTTTGTTATTTAAAAATTTTTTTAAAAACATTGCAAACTAAAGAGAAATCAAGAGTTCCACTTACTATAGATTTAATGAAGTTGTTCACTTGGAAAATGGGAGCTGCTTGATGACTGTACAGTGGGGCATCTGACACATGACTAAGTAATTTGTTGTAACATCATACTTGATTTGGTCATTTTTGATGCTTTTATAGCCATAAAAAGATGAAATAGAAAGTTGGTGTTGTGGATTCAGAAATATTTTGTCTCTTCGGAGTCATCTCTAAGACAGAGTTTGGGTCAAAATAGCGGACTCAAAATATTCTGTGTCTTTTTTGCCTTTGGGATTTTGTCAAAGATTCATAATATAGATATGATTACAAGCACTCTTTTTTTTTGCTTAATGTTACAGAGGGCTACTGCAATTTGAAAACATTTCTTATGGGATTGAGCCTCTGGAATCTGCAGTTCAATTTCACCATCTTCTGTATAAATTAGGGAATGATAACAAGCAACTTTCAAGTTTTAACAATGATACCAAAAGTGCAGAAAATCACCTGATGGACTCCATCATATATATAGATAAAAAAGTGAGTTGTGTATACTTTATTAATATCTTCAATGCTCTTATTGGTTCTGTTCATTTAAAATGTAAATTTAATAGCTATTTGTGGCTGTAGTAACCATGCTTTCTTTGCGAATGCAATTTCCTTGGAATCAGACATCAACTTTTTCTTTTTGCAACAGATTTATCACTTGCATTATGGCTTGCCTTGTTTTGGTTCTTATTTTGTTAACATTATTGTTTTCTGAAAAATCAATGACTAATGTTTAAACTTAAAGAGCCCTCTGTTTCTTACTGTTGTCTCTTTATTACTTGACACTGTTCAATAGAGGCAATAATTACAGTCCATAAGTGGTCCATCCTCTGTGTGGGAGGAAAGGAGCTGAGCTGCCTTGTCCCACACAGACCAGAACAGCCCAGAGGCACGTATTACATTCATAGTTCTTTCTGGGAGTTTGCCCAGGAACACACGTCTGTGAGGCTGCCCCCGCTCCTCATCTTTCTCCCATTCCTTAGCTATTCCCTCCTACAGCAACTTACTTAATAAAAAAAATTTCATTTTAATGATAGTTTCCAGCAGCATAATTTGCATTGTGCAATTTTTATGTTTTCATGGATGTTTTCCATCTGGTTAGGCAGCGCTATCCCGGTTCTTTTAGTTTTTCTCTCATGACTGCGCAGTTCTTTGAGCATATTTAAAAGATATTTTACTGTATTTGTCTACTAAATGCAATATCAGATCTATTTTAAAACAGTTTCCTAATTTTTTTGGGGAAGGATAATGAGCCATATTTGTTTCTTTTCACACTGCAGTTATTTTTGTTGTTGAAAATTGGATATTTCTGGGCTAGTCTTGTGGCGTACCAGGTAAAGCGACTGCTTGCCACACTGGCATCCCATACTGCTGGTTGGTGTGTCTACTGCTCCACGGCTCCCTGGTAATGGCTTGGGCAAAGCAGCAGAAGATACCCCAGTTGGTTGGACCTCTGCTACCCATGTGGGAGTCCTGAATGAAATTTTTGGCTCCTGGTTTTGGGGAATGAATCAGGGAATGAAAGACCTCTTTCCCTTTCTCTCATTTTGTAACTCTCACATTCAAATATATATAAAAAAAGTGTTAATGAAAGGAAGTTGGGAATTGAGTATTTTAATGGTGGTGATTTTGAAGCAACCCCCTTGCATGTTTGTTGTTGCTGATCCTGCCTTTTATGGCTTCATTTTATTTGCTTAGTGACTTTTATAAATGCTATTGTGTAAAGACTATTGTTTAGTTTGTTGTCATCTGGTAATGTGGCACAGATTATCCTAACTAATGGAGCTGAAAACAAAAATTCCTCCTAGTTTTTATAAATTGACTGTGACTTGTAATACTTGGCCCACTTCTCAATGTTGTTCACGATCCTGTCTTGACCTTGCTTCCTGATTGTACAGTGCCTAAAGCTTAACCAGAGGTGAAAAATCAGTATGTTCCCAGCCTTTTCTGACCATGTGTCCAGCGCTGGCATGCATATGGCTTTCTAGAACTCCCAGAATATGTCGGGGGATGTCAAAGCCTTTACCCCACACCCATCCCATTCCCAGTGTGTTTTTTCCTTGGGTTTCTTTCTGTGCTCACTACGTGTCCCTTTTGTGAAATGTAATTTCAGCTAGTATAATCGCCTTTAAATGCTTTTTGTAAACACCATATTCAAGTTCGCTCCAATCCTGTGAAAGTTCCAAAGTGCAGGGTAAAAAGAAAATCTGTTGAGTAGATGGGTGAAAACACACACCTCTAATTCTCTCATAATAAATTTGATTTCACTGTCTCTGGGGACCAACAAGTCCCACTAGCAGTATGGACCAACATGCTTTGTGGATGCCACTGAGATGACCGTGGGAAACAGAGTAGGTGGGAGAGTCCAGGACCACTGTGTACACATACATGCAAACCACTGCGGAAATGGAGATAACATTGATCACTTTATTTCTTACATTTTGGATTGACCAATTGTTTACAATAAGGGATTCCAGGAGCAGGAGTTGGTGGTATGGAAAATATTTCAGACTACAAATGGATGAAGACCACTTCCTTTGAATTTATTGAGTCACTTTACAAAGCTCAGTCCAGATGAGAGCAAGGAGAAACAGACTCAGCTCTCAATGGGATGCAGTGCAAACTGTATTGTAAAGAATAAGGCTAAGAAAAAAGTAACCGTTTTTTAAAAAAACTTCAACACCTAAGTAATTTGTTGAATCACCTTTTGTATGTAACTAGGATAGGTGGCTATAGGTGCAAGGTGTTTTCTTCTGTTTTTACAATATATCTGGAAGCTCTAGCTCCACTGGGTGACGTGTTTGACTTCATAACCAGCATTATCATTACGAGAGTCCATTGCCCACAAGTTAAAGCATCTACACTGGTATTGATCAATTGCAAAAATAGTTTGGTAAATGCTATAGTAACAGCCTTGATAAGGAATTCAGAATTCACGAATGCTGAAGGGTTTCATGATTATACACTGCTTTTGTTTTTTTTTTTTTTTCTAGCCAGCATTACCAGAAAAAGTATTTCCTCTTTATCTAGACATACACATTGTGGTGGACAAAGCTTTGGTATGTGCTTTGCTTTCTCTTTCTTTAAATAGTTAGTACCATTATATGATTATTTAGAGCTTAAGACAAGCTGAACGATTTTGAACTTTTTAGCTGCATGACATAGGAAAGATAGGGTAAAATTGTGCTAGCTGAAAAATCACATATTTACTATTACACTAGTGTCATCATAAATGTTTTATTTTAGATCTTTGCATGACAGCCTTACAGAATGAGGTGAAATTTTTCTGATCCTTTACATTCTTATGACTTCGTGTAACCTGATATGTTAATGCTAAAAATAAGAATATGTGGTTAAGTGGAATTCATTAGATTTTGAAGTGCTATCTTGGAGGATGGCATGAAAAGTAAACTGTATAAAATTTTTATTAGGAAAAAAGAGATTATAGCTATTTGATAGATTACAAAAAATTGTCAGTATTGTTTCTGGAAGTTTTTTTTTTCCCTTTATCTAGTGTCTTTCCCTCAAAAATGAACAAAATGCTATCTCAACCTTAGAGTTACCAAATGAAGACACTGAGGATACTCCTAGATAAGGAATACCAAAAAAATCATGAGAAAACTCCTCAGAGATAGTGAGAAAAAAGACAAGAAATCAAGGAAATTAAGGAATATGCCACAACGGAAATATGAGCTATAAAAAGAGTCAAATTGAAATACTTGAACTGAAGAATAAAAATAAGAGCAAAATAGAAAAGCAATAGAATTCTTCATCAATAGAATGAGAGAGGCAGAAGAAATAATTCCAGACTTAGAAGATGCCTTCTTTGAGGACACAACAGTAATAAGAAATATGGAAGAGGAGCTGAACAAAGCTAAAAGTACTATTCAATAATTGAACATCACCATTAAAATGAACCAAGTACAGGGGTTATAGGAGTTCCTGAAGGCATGAGAAAGAGAGGCAGGATTATAGGAAATATTCAATGAAATGATGAATGAGAACTTCCTGAACATTGGAAGCAGAAGGGGAAGCCAGATACAGGAAGGGCAGAGGACCCCGGGTTTGATCCTAAAAGATTCTCACCCAGGCACGTCATTGTCAAGCACCCTTTGATTGGACACAAAGATACTGAATCAGGCACATAAAAAGGACCAGATTACAGTTAGGGGAACACCAATTAGATTCACGACTTACTTTTCTTTTCTTTTTTTTTTTTTCAAGTTTGAAGTGTTAATTTTATTTATTTATTTTTTTTTATTGTTGCTTACATTGTATTATGTAGTACAGTTTTATAGGCGCTGGGGATTCCCCCCTCCCCTCCCATACCCCTCCCCCCATGGTGGATTCCTCCACCTTGTTGCATAACCATAGTTCAAGTTCAGTTGAGATTCATTCCTTGCAAACACATGCCTAGCATAAAGTTCAGCATCTTATTGTCCAGATAAGTTCAGTGGCCTCTTGGGGAGACCTTCTCTGGTCTGAAGATAGGTCTAACAGAGTAAAGATCCGGTCAGTTAAAAGCCCCAACAAGGCCTCAGTATCAATATACAACATTATGGAATTAATTGACATAGTATTGGGTAAACAATATGTTAAAAATAATGCAAGTTCCATTCTTCGAAACATCTGGGTTGAGACAGTATCAATGACAGGTTCAAAAAATAACAAACAACCAAACAAAAAAAATTACAGGTTAAATCAAGGCAAACATGTGGTATCTAATCTTTTGGGATTCGCTCATTTCCCTTAGCATTATAGTTTCCAGTTGTGCCCATTTAGCCACAAAGAACTGCATTTTGTTTTTTTTAATAGCTGAGTAGTATTCCATGGAGTAGATGAACCAAAGCTTTCTTATCCAATCTTCTGCTGATGGGCATTTCGGTTGCTTCCATGTTTTTACGACTTACTTTTCAGAGCAAACCCTTCAGGCAAGAAGAGAATGGAGTGACATTTTCCAGATTCGAAAACAGGAAAATTGTCAACTCAGAGTGATATATCCAGCAAAGCTCTCATTTGTGTTTGAAAATGAAATATTTCCGCAGCAAACAGAAGGAGCGAACACCACTGGACACAGCCCTTCGAATACTACTGAAAACAGAAAGAAAGGACGTTAACCACCTTGAACAATGGCAAAGGAGATCTACCCATTTAAATCACAAGAAGACGAATTAAACAGGGAGAAACCCAACACAAAAATGACAAATCTCCACCTGTTGGTATTAGCCCTGAACACAAATGGCTTAAAAGCATCGATCAAAAGACACAAATTTACAAACTGAATAAAAACACAGGACCCATCTATCTGTTGCCTACAAGAGACACATCTCAGCAACAAAGATACATGGAAGTGAAAGGATGGGAGAGGATATTTCATGTCAATGGAAAGAAAAAAAACGAGCTGGTGTAGACATTCTAATATCAGACATTATAGATTTCAATGCAAAAAGCACTAAAATAGATGAAGATGGACCCTACATAATGATGAAGTGATCCATTCAGCAAGAAGTAATGATAATAAATGTATATGCAGCAATGCCAGGGCACCTTGCTATGTGAAACAACTAGTCATAAACCTAAGGGGACAAATGGACCCAAAAGCAACAATATTGGGTATTTTAACACCTCACTGACATCCACAGATCAACAAGACAGACACTCAGCAAGAAAGCTACAGATCTAACCCACACAATAGGACAAATGGACCTAATTAATATCTGCAGACCCTTTCCTCCTAAGGGCACTGAATATGCATTTTTATTCATCTGGGCATGGACTTTTCTCTAGGATCAATCATATTATAGGTCACATAACAACCTCAGCAAATTAGAAAAAAATACATAAATCGCCAGAAAATTGGTAAATTCTTGGAAGCTGAACAACATGCTACTGAAAGAACATGTATTAGAGAATAAATAAAAAAGAATAATATAATTTCTGCAATGAACAAAGACTTCAATACAATTTAGCAAAATCTGTGGGTTGCAGTTTTAAGAGGCAAATTGACCACAATTAGTGCCTACATTAGGAAATAAGAAAGACACCAGATAAATTGGATGACTGTACACCTGAAAGAGTTAGAAAAACAACAGCAAAATAATTCCAAGAATACAGAAAATGAAAATCTCATCTCTCACTCTTTGTAATTCTTTCAAGTCAAATAAATACATTTTTAAAAATAATAGACTTCATTGTGATTTCCCTTGGTTGGAACAGGATAGACTAGTTTGAATCATTTCCTTGGGCTCTTGGAGCAAAGGGGGTATGTCCCTCATTGTGTAGAACCTGGTTCTGGGATGATGAGTACAGCGCAATGGTGGCCTCGAGTGTGAGAACCTGATAGAAGGGCTGATGGACGCAGACTTTCGGTTGATTCCTTGTAAATGAAAGGTGCACGTCTGTTATCTCTTGGAATTAGCTATCCCTGAGAATGGTGGTCAGGAAGGCCGCAAGATGCCAGAGCATAGGAAATACAGACACTAGATAGGGTGGTTAATGCTGTGGGTCACAAAATGGATGGTAATCGGTGGCAGCTTAGGCCTGGGGTAAGTGGGAAAATTCTTCCAAGTGTGGGAGAAGGCTTTGATCAGGAAGCCGCAGGAGTGTTGGCTTGTTTAATACACACACTTAAAAGAGGGATACAGAAATGGGAGAATGAATGAATTAAAATTGTATTTGGATTTTAACCTAAAGGCAATAGTGTTGAAATACTTAGGGGAAGAGTTTGGGATATTTATCTTTTCATTTTAGAATGACCAGTTTGGTATTTGTAAAGGGGCTGGATTGATGGTGAGAAAATAAGTAATAGAGACTGCTCTGGTACTCAAGATGCAAAACTTTAAATAAGTTAGCCTAAGAATAAAGGAACAATCTTGAAAGTTACTGTTGACATGCAATTAGAAGGACTTATAAATCAATTTGTTAATGTACCTAGCAGAGTTACCAAACAACATCTGGATACCATTCTAGTTATTAGGGATACGGCAGTGAACAAAATAGGAAAAAAAAAAAAAGGCCCTCTCTGTTTTCACTGGGTGCCTAGTAAAATAACTGTGGGATGGAAAAGTGGTTGACACTATCCACTAAAGCAGAAAAAAACATAAGGATGCTGATGTCTCTCCCATCCACCTGGGGAGAGAAATGAGTTTTAGATATGATTTTGGTTATGAATAATTTAAACGTAATATGGAACATTGAAGGCACAGTATAGTGCAAAGCATTGGTCTGTAGATATGTGGAGTTTGACATTGTTGCAAAGCTGAATTTGTTTAGATTTTAGTATGCTGCACTCATTTTTGTTTGCACATGTGCATGTATATGGGGATTAGTCTTGCTTCACACAGGTGGTCTTGTGTAGCCACTAACACGATCCAAAGACTCCAACGTGCTATCATCATGGAAGTCTCTCTGGTTACCTCGAAGCCACACCCAAGCTGCCCACTCCTTTTGTGTTCTGAACTTTGGCAGCCACTAAGGTGTTATTCTTTAATTTCACAAACATGAAAATTGCATTTGTGGTTTTTTTTTTGTCATTTTATGATTTGTTTTACATGAAACATAAATTTTGGGAGGCAATTTTTCAGGTTCTACATATCAGCATTTCAGTTCTTTTCTTTTTCTCACAATATTTTATGGTATGAATGTACTAGTTTTTAAATAAAAATTATTTAGCTATTGGAAGACATAATGAGTTGTTTTCAGTTTGGGCCCGGCATGAATAAAGTTGCTATGGGTGTTCATGTACAGGATTTTATGTGAACTTAAATTTTCACTTCTTTGGGGTTAAATACCCAGGAGTGCAGTTTATGGGTCATAGAGTAAGTTAATTTGTTTTGAAAGTAGTTGCTACTCTGTTTTTCAGAGAGGCTATCTATTTTAGATTCTCACAAGAGTTGTGTGAGTGATACAGTCTCATGTTTCATTTTGAACGGCTGAACTCCAAAGCGGCTGCAAAACTGGCAGGTAGATGGTGAATAAATCTCATAAATATCATGTAAAAATTATATGTAAATATTGAATTAATTCTGTTTTCCAGTATGAATACCTGGGCTCTGATAGCATGATAGTAATGAATAAAATCATCGAAGTTATTGGCCTAGTAAACTCAGTAAGTGTTTCCCTTTTCATACCTGATGTAGTCTGGTTTAAAATGATTATTGTATTAACTTGAGGTAATGTTTTTGAATCGTCATATTGCCTATACGTAATCAGTATGGATTTAGTAAAATTTAAAATCAACTCGTAGATTATCTAAGAAGAGTTATTAACTACATTTGTCTCATCTGTTCCTAGATGCTTATGCAGTTTAAAGTTACTCTTGTGCTGTCTTCATTGGATCTATGGTCAGATGACAATAAGATATCTACAGCTGGTGAGGCCGATGAACTACTAAATGTATTTTTAAAGTGGAAACATTCCTATCTTACCTTCAGGCTTCATGATGTTGCCTATCTATTTGTGTAAGCATAATATTTCAGTCCTCCCGGAATTTAAAAAAAAAAAGGTCTGTGATAATGAGATAATGATGTCATACAGAGAACTGCTTTATGTTATGATTTATGTTTTGATCATTCATTATGCACTTTATTGAAGCCTCATTGTCATTTTCTGTTTTCCAGTAATCTAAAGAATGCTCACATGTAAAAATCAACTTGGTATAAAGAGATTGGAATTTCTAGGGATTAGGCTGTCTCGGGACACTTGGATGATGCTATGTATCTATGGTTCGAATTCAGTTTCTCATTTTGTTTTTGTTAAATCTTTATATTTTTGAATTTTGTATACAATTTTGTATAGATTGGGATTCTCCGTCGAACTCCAGTCCCCTGACAGATTTTCCCCATGTTGTTACAACAGTACATTCCTTCATAAACAGTCGTAATTGCATCCGTCTGTTATTTAAATGTGCCCTGACATTGCAGGTACAGACAATGTCAGACAGTCCAGCAGTTTCATTGGGAGTCCATCTTTGATTTGGAAACAGGGATGCATATTGCACATCTGGATATGCTAGTCTCTAATACTCTATCACTATACATTCCCATAAATGAGAAGTCATGAAATAAGGTCAACAACTGGTGTGAATTAGAACAGCAGCAGCAGCAACAACAACAACAACATTACAGCACCATGAAAAAAAAATTGCCGCTGCGGAACCAACAAATGGGTGACAAAAAGAAAACACAAAAAACTCTTGGGTAAAATGTTGCCTTCCTATATAATCCGTGAGCCAATGATGAATTCAACAAGAGAAAACAAAGTATTTGGGAGAAATGAAACGGAAATAAAAAACATCAAAACACATGGGATGCAGCCAACAAACAAACGAACGAACAACCCCCCCCAAAACCCAACCAGTATGAAAAGTTACTGAGCTTACAATTTGCATGATGGTGAAATTCTATTAGAATATATGGCATTTGTCCTTTTGGGATTGACTTATTACATTGAACATAATGGTCTCTAGTTGGGACCATCTAGTTGTAAATAGTATAATTTTATTCTTTTTAATAACTGAGTAATATTCCATGGAAGAGATGTTCCACAGTTTCTTTTTTTTTTTCTAATTTATTTTTTGACAACCTTCACATAATTAGGGTAAAAAGGTTCAAGCGCTACAGGAAGATAGGTAAGACAATTAGTTCCGTATTGTTTCCTTAATACATCTGATGTAAAAGGGGATTTTAAGGGAGAAGCCCCACCCAGTCTCCCACCCACCCCAGGTCCCACATGTGGGGCATGCTCTGAGGGTCTTGCTCAAGTGGTTTTGATAGTTCAACAGTTCTGAATTGCTGCCGCTCTCACCACTCCAAGCATGATAGGGTCATGGAAGAATCCACTGATTGACATAGTCCATCATAGATTCTCTGCATAGATTTTCACTGCGAACATATAGCTGAGGTGGTTGATTGACTTGTTCTGTCCTCTGTCATTTGATGGTTAGGGTTCTGAGTCCGGAAACTCGATTGGGGGGATCCCCAAAGAAACTTTGTCTGAGGTGTTCCCGGATATGATTCTTGTATGCACTAGCAAGCACAAGGCCTGGCACAGTCCCTTGCCCGGATCAGCTGGTGATTGCAGTTGCTGGGTTGGTTCTGTTTCCATCCCTGTCTTCCTCTGGAACCAATGGGTGATGGTAGTCCAGCCTGGTTCTGCCCAGCACATACTCAGCCCTTGCATAAACCAGTGGGAGCTGCAGGCTAGTTGGAGCGACCCACAATAACCCCAACCAGGCCTGCCCCCTACCCTGGTTTGCCAGTATGTGTGGCAGACTAGTCCAGTCTGTCCCACATCCCCTTGCGCTCACATACATGTCAATGGGTATTAAAACCTTGTTCCATCTAACCAGCTCAACTGTCCAGCCTTCATGGATGTTGTTGGGTGTCTCTGTCTAGCCACCCCAGCCCCTGTCCTAGTTTTTGTGGCCTTCCGTGGGGGGTGGCAACCAAGAGAGAGGATCCCACTCTTTCCCTCCCAGGCCACTCCCACTCCCGGATGATGCACTCTCCAGGTAGTTCTGTGGTTTGACTTGACAGAACTAGGCCCAGTGCCAGCTTCTGCCAGCTGATGCTGTGGCTAAGCTCAAACAGCCCTCATCCACTCTAATTTTGTTTGCACCAGTCGGAATAATCAGCCCAGCCTGGTTTTTCCCTGTTCTGGTCCATGTGAAGCGCACAGGTGTTGTAACCCTGCCTATTCTGGTCTGCCCCATCCCAGCTCATGCTCTCCAGTGGGAGTAGCTGTTCAACAAGGGAAGCACCCTGTATTCCCCTGCAGGCTCTGCCCCTCCCTCCCTGGTTCTCATGTGTGCTGTTTGGGCACTGTGGTCACATCTGGCACAGGCAACCTCACCTTGGCATTCTGTGTTGTGTACTGCATTTGTCGCGACCCAACCTGGCTCGACCCACACTCTGTTCTGGTGTTCAGATTTGCCAGTGGATGATGTGAACTGATTCAGCCTGTTCTGCCCCTGAACCATGCCAAATATATGCCAGTGGGACACTTTCCATGGCCTCATCTGGGCTGTTCCGTTCTATGCTTGCGCTTACCTGCCGGGTCTGTGTCCTGCCAGAGGAGTTGCCCAGGCTCCTCCATCAGAACCCCTCCTAGTGCCAGGCTTCACACATACCGGGGGGGGGGCGGCCATGAGCCAGCCCTACTCAGTCCACCTCCTGTCCAAGCAGGAACAGTGGCTTTTCTTAAGTGCCCTTCTTGCTGTTGGATGTTTCAGCCCAGCCATTGCTTGTCCATACCCGCATATAGCTCATACATGGCTCAGTAGGGGTTGAGACCTAGCCTAGTCCGTTCCACATCTACCCTGGTCCTCCAGGACACCAGATGGTTTTGCAGTCTGACTCGGCCCAGTGTGTCTTGTCCCAGTCTACACTTGTGCCAGGGGAGACTACAACTGTATCCCGATCAGAACGCAGCCCCCATTCCAGCTGTTTGAATCTGTTCTTTTGAAAAATGTCTGTTCATTTCGTTTGCTTAGTTCTTCACAGTTTTTTTTTTTTCTGTGCCTGGGTTTTTGAAGTTCTTTATAGATCCTGGATATTGGTCCCCTATCAGTTGTGTAGTGTGCAAACATTTTCTCCCATTCAGTTGGTTGCTTCTTCACTTTGTTGATTGTTTTCTTTGCTGTACAGAAGCTTCTTAGTTTGATGTAGTCCCGTTTGTTCATTTTGGCTTTGACTGCCTGTGCTTTTGTGTCTTTTCCTTAGACAAGTCTTTCCATGTTCCTATATCTTGGAGTGTGCTTCCTATGTTTTCCTTCAATAGTTTGATAGTTCGTGGGTGTAGATTTAGGTCCTCGATCCATTTAGAGTAGATGTTTGTATAATGTGACAGGTGTGGGTCTTGCTTCTTACATCTGCAAGCTTCAAGCTGCTAAGCAGTTGACCCAACAGCATTTGTTGAATCGGTCAGGCCTTTTACCTGAATTGTTTTCAGTTTTCTTGTCAAGGAATAGTTGGCTATCCATGTGTGGGCTCCCTTCTGGTGTTTCTATTCTTTTCCATTGATTTTATTCTCTGTTTCTGTACCAGTACCAGACTGTTTCGATGACCACTGCTTTATAGTATGCCTTGAAGTCTAGAATTGTGATTCTTTCAGCTTGGTTTTTATTTTTCAGGACATCTTTGGCTATTCGTGGTCTCTTGTGTTTCCAGATGAACTTCTGTGTCTTCTTTTCTTTTCTGAGAAGAATGTTGTTGGGATTTTGATTGGGATTGCATTGAATCTGTAGATTGCTTTTGGTGATATGGTCATTTCGATGATGCTGATTCTGCTGATTCAGGAGCATGATATTTTTCAATGTCTTCTTCTTTTTCCTTTTTTTTTTAATGTTTTATAGTTTTAATGTTTTAATGTTTTTGTCATAGAGATGTTTCAGATTTAGTTAGATTAATCCCTAGATATTTAAGATTTCTCTCTGCTATTTTAAAGGGAATTGTACTTACAATTTCTTTCTCAGCCATGGAATTATTTGTGTACACTAGTGCCATTGACTTGTGTTCATTAATTTTGTATCCTGCTACCCTGGCAAAGTATCTTATGAGTTCCAATAGTCTCTTGACTGAGCTTTTGGTTCTCCTATGTAGAGAATCATGTCATCTGCAAACAGGGATAATTTCAGTTGCTTATTTCCAAATTGATTTCCTTTAGTTTGCTTTTCTTGCCTAGTAGCTCTGGCAAGGTCTTCCAATACTATGTTGAGCAGTAGTGGTGAGAGTAGACGTCATTGTGTCATTTCAGATCTTACTGAAAAAGCTTCCAATCCTTCCCCACTTAGTATGCTGCTGGCATCAGGTTTGTCGTAAATTGCTCTGTGTTACAGAATGTTCCTTCTTAGCCTCTCTTGCTTAGGGCTTTCAGCATGAAGTGTTGTTGGATCTTATCAAATGCCTTCTCTGCATTGATGGAGATGATCATATGGTTTTTCTTTTTCAATGTGTTGATATGGTGTATCACATTTGTTGCTTTGATAATGTTAACTTAGTTCTGCATGTCACGGATGAATCCCCTCTGGTCTAGGTGAATGATCTGCCTGATGTTTTGTTGGATCTTGTTGGGCAATATTTTGTTGAGTATCTTTGCATCTATGTTCATTAGGAATATTGGTCTGTAGCCACAACAGTGAACTGTGCATGTGCTGATCTCGAAGACAACTCACTGAGCTCAGTGCATTGCACTGGTCCCACAGGAAAATAATACCGACTATGGCATCATATAGGTTGAAATAGGTCTGTGTACCACAGACTTTACAATGAACAGGTTTGGCAAGATCAGTACCACCAACAACGTAGCTATATAGGCTACCTGGTGTCTCTCTCATCCTGAGATCTGCTCCAACTGGAAGTGGGAGAAAGGTTGTACAGACAAGAGTGTAGCCTCAGCATGGTATCACAGGAGTTGGAGACTGATGAGCCAGGAGTTAGGGCTGTGGAGATCATGGTGGAAATCTAACATAAGAACCCGGACCTGATACTTGCTGGAGGGAGTGGCACAATTGGCTGCAAACAAAGAGCCATGTACCAACTTTAATAAGTAAAATTGAACTGTAGACCTGTGGGTGACAGAGCTTAGAATCTTGCCCCAAGGAAAAGACTCTGCTAACCAGAAGTACAATGACCAAGAATAAAATAGGAGACAAAGGAACACTGCGTTTCATTGAAGATTACTCTGCAAAGGAGCAAAACCCTATGCCAACCTCAGAATTCACCTAGAAAGATATCGAGAATATGGGAGATACAGAATTCAAAACACTTGTTATAAAACTTCTTATCAACAATGAAAAGCACATAAAGCAGGTATTCAAGAAAGTTAAGGAACATGTCACACAGGAAATGAATCAAACGAAAGCTCATAAAGCAGAAATGAAGAATACAGTGGAGCACATTAAAAGTACAGTGGAAAATCTCCAAAATAGAATGAAGGGGGCAGAAAATAATCTCAGAATTAGAATATATTTCCTGTTGCGAGGGGGAAAACAAATAAAAAGTTGGAAGCAGAGCTGGATCAGGCTAAAAAAAAATATTCAAGAATTGAAAGACATTATTAAAAGGCCAAATGTAAGAGACTGGCTGTTTCCTACTTGGTTTGGAGACACTTCAGCAGCAGCATGGTGGACTTGGGAAAATTCACGAGAGATACCCATTGTGAGACTGCAGGGAGAACACAACGGAGGGGATGGGACTTGGGGGATGGGGAAGGGAGATCACAGTGCCAACTAAACTGTATCAAAAGTAATTTAAAACAAGTTTTGGGAGTCCTGGAAGGTGCAGAAAGAGAAGCTGGGTTTCAATGAAATAATAAGGGAAAATTTCCCTAATCTAAAGCAAGAATTGGGAACAACATCCAGGAGGAGCACAGAACTCCCAACAGGGTTGACCAAAGTGATCTTCACCATGATACATGATAATCAAACTCTCTTCAATTGAACATAAGGAAAAGATCCTTAAATGTGAATGGGGAAAGAATCAATTGACATATAAAGGAATGTCAATTAAAGTCATAGGAGATCTCTCACAGAAAACTACGTAGGCCAGAACAGAATGGAGCCGCATATTCCAGATTCTAAAAGCAAAAATTTGTTGGCCCAGGATAATGTACCCAGCAAAGCTTTCCTTTGTCTTTGAAAATGAAATAAAATTCTTCCATAGTAAAGTTAAAAGAATTTGCCTCTTCCAAAGCTGCCATGCAAGTGATAAAGATGTTTTCTTGATAGAGAAGAGGAATGGCACCCATCAAAACCAAAGGGAAATGTGAAGAACATCCCAGTAAAATAACAACAGAAGATTAAATCAATGAACAACCCATTGCTAAAATGACAGGACCAAAGTACCACCCATACATATTAACCCTGAATATAAATGGTTTACACTCATCAATCAAATGTCATAGATTAGTAGACTGGATTACAAAACAAAGCCCATCTATTTGTTGCCTACAGGAGACGTATTTCATCAACAAAGATCAGCAGAAACTGTATCTCATGCATTTTTTAAAATTTAGTTTCATCTCTTCAAAACAGTTTCTTACACATTATATTCTTCAATGACTCATAGATCATGCAGTAGCATCATTTTCTTCAAGGGAGTTCTTGATTTTCTTTTTCATTTCTTTAGTGAAACATTTGTCATTCTGTAGCATGCTATCTCACCTCATGGACTTTTAACTTTTTTTTTTTTCCTGTTGGTGATTCTGTTTTGTGTCTTTTCATCTAGGGGGGTGTATAGTAGCTGTGTAATGGAGACTATCATATCCAGTAGCATGTTATTTAGCTTCATGTCATTGTAAATTTCTATTTTTCTTCCTGTTGCTGATTTTGTATTGTGAATCTTCACTTAAGGGGATGTATAGTAACCGTGTAATTGACTCTGTCATTATCCGAATGTGAGGATACAATGCAGTGTGCATCTCTACTTCAGGACTAAAGATGGACTCCCAATGAAACTGTTTACTATATGACAATAGGATGCTGGACTCTCTGCCATTGTCCCTGCCCGCAATGATGGGCATATGACTGTGTATGAAGAATTATACTATAGTAATGATACAGGAGAACTCAATGGGGGCAGAGGAGGGGCACTTGGGGAGAGAGTAAGGGAAATCCCAGGACCTATGGAACTCTATCATAAAATGATAATAGTAATAAAAAAGTAAAAAATAAAATAAGAGAAAGAATATGGAAAGTATAGAACTGCTGCTGAATTTTTACAACAAGGACAGAAAACATGAAACATTGAACTTGTAAAAACTGCTTTCCACAACTGATATGTGTGAACTATATCTATAAGAGTGTTAGTGTGAAGTAAAAAAATAATATGTTACTGAGATCACCAAGTTTATGTACATTTTTAGGGGCAACTTGTTATAAACATTAGCATTTTGTTAACATATCTGTTGTAATAACTACTTTGGCTGAAGATATATTGTAAAGATATTTAAATATTGTAATTTGTTGTCAAATTTGGGTGTTAAGAAGCTCGTGATGGAGGGATTTGGTATAAGCAGTGTCAGGCAGAATATAGGCAGCACTGAGGATGCAGGATGTATATGAATTGCTACGGAGTTTATTGAGCTACATTTAAAATTATGGGTTGAGTACCTAACTTCTTTACAGGCATTCTGGCATGTCTCAGCGAGATGTGTGATGTACAGTGTATACACACACAATGGCAGTGTATGCATGGAATAGCTGTATTTTGGAGTTGAGAATATAACTGATTCAAACTGCCCATTTTTGAGTTATTCAATAGCTTCCTCGAGAGTTGCTTATATCTCCCATCTTGTATATATTTTTTCCTTTAAGGGGAATGAAAATATCCATTTCATTTGTTTGCTTTGATGATTAAATGGAATAATCCAGGTAAAGTTTTGAGAATAATACTATTCTATGAGAGCATCATTAAGCCCATACACCAAACTTAAATAATATTTAGTTATGAGACAATAAAGATATTCCTGTAAACACTGTTGAGATTTTTCTATATGGGAGAGACACATTTTGATTCATGCATTGCAACTGTTTTGTCATTCTGTAAAATGTTTTTTGATTGAAGGCTTTTGTAACCTTAACCAAATGTGATGAGTGAAGTACAGCCATTAAAACATTGCATTTGTTGGATGCTTAGAAAATCAGTTTTGTTACTAATACCTTCACACTTTGAAACCAGCGTGTATAGAATGATTGTGCCTCAATAACCATCAGAATAGGATTTTGTGAGACATTTAATTTAGTACAAATTTCTCAATTTCACCAGTTTATAATCATGAATTCAATTTGAATATTTATTTATTTAGTTATAGGGATATTCCACATTACCTGGGTGCAGTGTTTCCTGGAAAGATTTGTGATACTCAGTATTCTGCGGGAATTGCAGTGGTATGTAGCTATTTAATCTCATATGTAAAATTTACATTATTAAAATTTGCCATCATTTTAGTGTATATCTTACACATTGCATTTTTGTTTATTTATATGCCGGATTTGTTTTCCATTAGTACCTAATGGTAATTTTATTTAAAAAATACATATTTAACATTTGTTACTAGGCTACTTTATATTCAGCATAATTTGCATTATGTGATATTTAACTACTCTGTCTTTTCCATTACTGCTAAAACTTTGAAGCATGTATAATGAAAACATCTTATAGAAATACTAGTTGCAATTAATTGTAATGGGAAATTGAATGGAAAAATAACAACATCAGAAATAAATGCACAGACATTCCCGAACATCTCATGGCAATTTGCTTGCTAAGAAAACCTCTAAAATCCCAGATTTTTTCCTTGCAAATGTAAAGTTAGGGAAATATTCAAATAAAGTAGCTTCATATTGAAAGATGATGTAGTTCCATTAGCCATTCCCCCCATACTTCTTAAAAAGGTTTAAATATTACACATTTTATATTGTAAAGTGATTTTTGATAATTATCTCAAATTTCTCAAGTGTGTATAAGAATAGATAAGAATTATTGGAACCTGGCATAATACCACCTCAGTGGAGATAATCACCACGAATGGCTTGAATGTTTTATGTCTGTACCGCTGGATTCTGTTGGCCAGTATTTTGTTGAGGATTTTGTGTCTATGTTCATCTGGGAGATCTGTAGTTCTCTTTCTCTGTTGTGTCTGTATCTGGTATTGAAATTAAGATGATGCTGTCTTGATGTGGTTAAGAACTTGCATTTTTAACATATTGGTTACTCAATACCATGTCAATTAATTCCATAATGTTGTAAATTATTGCTGATGTTATCTTTGGGCTTTTAATTGATCAAGATGATACTCTGCCAGCTCCACCTTGAGACCAGAGATGGTCTCCTCAAGAAACCATTGAATTTATCTGGACAATTAGATGCTGGACTCTTTGCTTGGTATATGCTTACAATGAAAGAATCGCAACTGAATTTGATCTGTAATACTGCAACAAGGTGGAGGAATCCACCATGGGGGGAGGGTATGGGGAGGGGTTGGGGGAATCCCAGAGCCTATGAAACTGTGTCACATAATGCAATGTAATTAATTAAAAAAATCTAACACACTAAGATGATGCTGTCTTCATAGAAAGAATGTGGAAGTATTGCCTCCCTTTGTATTCTTTTGAATAGGTTGTGGATGATTGGGGTAATTTCTTGTTGAAACATTTTACTAGAATTCAGCAGTGAAGCCATCCGGTTCAGAGCTTTTCTTCGTTGGGAGGATATTAATTACTGATTCAATGTCCATGCTAGTTATAGGTCTATTTAGATTATTAATTGCCTCATGATTCAATTTTGGTAGATTGTATGTGTGCAAAGATCTATCTGTTTTTTTTTCTAGCTCATCTGGTTTTATTAGTATATAGTCCCTGATTATTCTATGTATGTGTGAGGTATCTGTTGTTACATTTTGTTTTTCATCTCCTATTCTAGGATTCATATCTTCTCCTTTTATGGCTAGTGGTAAATTCATTTTGTTGGTTTTCTAAAGGGACTAGAAAACTAGAAAAATGAAATCATTAATTCCATTTTTAAAGTCTCTATTTTGCTTATTTCCTTATATATTTTGATTTTTTTTTTCTGTTAGCCTCATATTGCTCTTGCTTTTGTTTTTTTTTCTGGCTTGTTCAGTCATGATCAACTCATTTACTCAGTGCTTTTCTAGTTTCTTGTCATAAGCACTGATTGAGCGTATTCTGAGTTTACAGGATGAAAGGTTCTGTAGACAAACCCGTTTGCTCTGTTGCCTGACTGAGTTTCTGACTCATTGATTTGTGCATTGAAGCTAGTGGAGTGACAAGGTCTCGCACAATCGTATTGGAGTTTATTTCTTTCTCTAAGTTCATCAATATTTGTTTCACATAATTAATTAGGTGCCCTGGCATTTGGTGCATATATGTTTATTATCATAAATTTCTCTTGCTGAATGAATCCCCTTATTACGTGGTATTCCCTTCATCTCTTTTAATTCTTTTCACATTGAAGTCTTTATTACCTAATATTAGAATGGTTACGCTAGCTTGTTTTTCCTGTTACACGGGAACATCCTTTTCCAGCTTTTCATTTCCAGCTTTCGTGTATCTTTGTTGGTGAGATGTGTCTCCTATAGGCAATATATTTTTGATCCAGTCTGATACTCTGTCATCTGTTTGGTGAATTCAATCCATTTACGTTCAGAATTAATACTATAGGTAGTGATTCTGTCCTGTCATTTTAGCAGTGAGTTGCTTATTGTTTGATTTAGACTACTTTTTTTTTTTTTTTTAATTGGGACAATTTTCACATTTGTCTTTGCTATTGGTAGGTGCTATTCTTTTTCTTTGTATGTATATCTTTAAGTAATATTTATAGGGCAGGCCTAGTAGAGGTGAATTCTCTCAACCTTTCTCTGCTTTGGAAATATTTCTTTAATTTTAAAGACCAAGGAAAGCTTTGGTGGATATGTTATTCTGGGTTGACTTTTATTTTTTCCTTTTAGCATCTTTAGTATGTCACTCCATTGTCTTCTGTCCTAGAGAGTTTCTTCTGAGAGGTCAGCTGTGAGTCTAATTGAAGTCCCTGTGTAAGCTAATTGACTTTTTTCACGTGCATATTTAAGTATCTTTCCTTTATGTTCAACTAAAGAACGCTTGATTATGATAGAAATCTAGATTGATTCCATATCTTTGCTATTGTGAATAGGAGGTGTAATTAACATGGAAATGGAGGCATCTCTTTTGTATGCTGACCTAATTTCCTGTAGTTCTATTTCCAAAACTGGGATAGCTGAGCCATATGATTGATGAAATGATAGTTTTATAAGGAACTTCCATACTGTTTTTCATAATGAATCTACATTCCCACAAACAGTATTTCTTTTTTTCTACATCCTAGCCAGCAGTTGTTATTTTTGATGTACGTAATTGCCATTCTTTCTGGAATGGGGTTTATTCTATTTTAGTTTTTATTTGTACTTTTTGATGACTAGTGATCCTAAGCATTTTTTTGTGTGTGCTTGGCTTTTGTTTATATCTCTAGTTTAGAAAGTGTCATTTAGTATTTTTAAACTGGATGGATTGTTTTGATGTGGTTGAGTTTCTTGAGTTCCTTATAAATTACACACAGTAGTCCTTTATCAGATGAATTGTTTGAAAATATTTTCCCCATTCTGGCTGTTTCCTTTGTGCACTGTTGTTTCCCTTGTTGTACAGAAAAATCTTAGTTGGGTACTAACTTGTCAATTTTTGTTTTGGTTGCCTTTTTTTAAAAAAAATGGGATCTTATCCAAAAACTTGATGCATATGAAATGTCTTGAAGTGCTTCCACTATGATATTTTTTCTGGTAGTTTCGTGTATTATGTTTAGATGTTTTAGTGAATTTTGAGTTGATTTTTATATAGGGTGAGAGGGACATTTTCATTGTGGTATATCCAAATTTCTTGTTAGAGTTTTCTGAAGAAAGTGTACATTCTCTAGTATTTGGACATCTTTGTAAAAAGAATAATTGAGTGTTGAGTTCTCTATGTTGTCTTGGTATGTGGTTCTGTTTTTTTTAAGGTTTATTTATTTTTATTGCAAAGGCAGATTTACAGGGAGAAAGTAACAGAAAGACCTTCCATCAACTGGTTCACTTCACAAATGGCTGCAATAGCCAGAGATGAGCCAATCCAAGCCAGGAGCCAGGAACTTCCTTTGGGTCTCCCACGTGAGTACAGGGTCCCAAGGATGAAATATTACATAGTTATTAATTAGGTTTTTTGATTCATGATTTAGATTACCTTTGTTATTTCTTTATTGATTTTTTTCTAGTTTATGTCCATTTAAATGGAATATTGAATTTCACTCTTATTATTGTATTAATGTGGATTTAGAGCCCAAGGTGTCACCCAAGTTGGCATGGCTGATCTCAATTGTCAGCTATCAGGAAGGAATAATCATGATTGTTAAGGTATTCACTGCTTCACCTCCTGTGCTTCAAGATGATTGGTGCCGAATGTTAGGCTACAGTGTCTACAACCCTTACACATGTTGGCACATGAACTACAGGATCTCTGTAGCTCTCTGTGTCAGCATGTAAGTCACCTCAGGCACTTGCTATCTCTGAACCTCTGAAATAAGTCATGCTGAATACCCAGAGACCCAGTTACACATCATATCCTATCTTGCAGTTGCAATATTTGGTAGCCTTTGCACTCAATACTCTCACAATCACCAGGTAATGAGAAATCACTCAGTCCGATGAGAATGTCTTGCTCACAAAAGCAGAAGTGTTCTCCATGTCAGCTACCTATGAGTGTTCCATCTTGCAATTTTCACCCCAACTTTGTAGATGCATGAGCAGGTGTGTGTGCTTGGTTCCTAATGGGTGTGTCCCTCTTGCCAAGCTACTAGCTCAGAGTCATTGTTAGTTGGGAACTCAGATTTATCCCTCTTTTAAAATCTCCTAGCTTCATTCACATGTGTGGGTTCAGGTGCCTATCATGTCTCTTCCATGTTCAATGTCCTTACAGTGGTGTTCAGACATCCCCACGCAGAGTTCGTGGAAAAAGAAATGTGTTCCTTCCTCCATGATAATTCTTGAACACCTCACCCCTTTCTCTGACAGCAATCAGAACCCAAAGTTACTGTGGTCTACAAGTCAATGGAGGTTGCAATAGTTTTTGCACATACCAATCGTGAAATCCATTGACTTCAAAATAATACTAACTGGTCCATATGTTTTTGGGGATTGTGGACAAAAGAGATGTGATCCTTCACCATCATGTTCTGGGGATGCATTGGCTCCCACTCTGTCATCAATCCAAACCCAATATCAGTGTTTTCCACAAGATTCTACATCAGGTTGTTTTGCCAGCAACCTTGAGTTTTATTCAGGGCCAGGCCACAGGAGCCACCAGACATGCTTCTGTTTGCCACTGTGTATTTGCTCTGTTCATGTTTCTCCACCATGACCCTCCACTATCCATTGTGCAAACTTCTCAGACTATGCCCTGGGAATGTACTTCCTTTGTTTCTCCTCCACTAGTTTATCCTGGTCAAAACCAGCAATGTCTTGGGGGCAAGGATATTTTAGAATCATGAATGATTGTTGAAATTTATTGATTGCTTTTCTTGCTTTTATTGAGTTGATTTTTATACTTCCTTCTGTTACCATATGTTATTTATATTGAGTTGCTTAGGTTGAGCCATCCTTGTGTCTCTGGGACAAATCCAAGTGGAGCATGATGTATGGTCTTTTTGATGTGTAAATTTTCTAGTGCATTGAGGATTTTTGCTTTTATGTTCCCTGAAGAAACTGGTTTAAAGTTTGTGTGTGTTGTGTGTGTTTGTGTCTTTGACATCAGAACAGTGTTGCCCTCACAGAAAAGATTGCAATGTTTCCATTTCTTTCAATGTTTTGTAATAGCTTGAGATAATTAATTTTAATGCCTTTAAAGGTTTGTAGAATTCAGTTATGAATTCATATGTTCCTGTGGTACATTTTGCAAAGAAGGTTTTTTTTTATTTTTTTTTTTAAAGATTTATTTTTATTATTTTTTCATTGGAAAGGTGGATATACAGAGAGGAGAGACAGAGAGGAAGATCTTCCGTCCGATGATTCACTCCCCAAGTGAGCGCAACGGGCCGATGCTATGCCGATCCGAAGCCAGGAGCCTCCTCCGGGTCTCCCACGCGGGTGCAGGGTCCCAAAGCTTTGGGCCGTCCTCGACTGCTTTCCCGGGCCACAGGCAGGGAGCTGGAAGGGAAGCGGGGCTGCCGGGATTAGAACCAGCGCCCATATGGGATCCCGGGCGTGCGAGGCGAGGACCTTTAACCACTTGCGCCACCGCGCCGGGCCCAAGAAGGTTTTTTATTGCTGATTCATTCTTGCCATTTTGCTCTTGATCTATTCAGTTTTTGAAATGTGTGTTTAATTTTGACAAGTTATGTATATTATCCATTACTTTTAGTTTTCCCAGTTTTTCAGCATGTTGTTGTAAATGATAGTTAGTAATGATTCTCATAATTTTTTAAAAATTTCTGTTACATCAGTTCATGTACCTGGGAAGGCAGCAAAAGATGCCAAAAGACTGGGTTTGCCAAGCCATGTGGAAGAACAGGATGCAGTTTATGGCTTTAGACTATGCCAATGCTGGGGCAAATGTGGCCATTTGTAGGATAAATTCAGTGGATAGAACATTTCTCTTGCATTGCCCCCCCCATTTCAAAATGAACAAAAGAAATGAAATTTGAGAATTTACACAAAGTAGAGACTGAACATTATTCTTTAGCGAATAGTGGGTCTTTGAAAAAAAAATGAAAATAGAAATTAAAATTCCTTGGAACCAATGAAAAGAAATGAACATATGGATACCAAAAGTTAATGGATACAATAAAATCAGCACTGGGAGGGAAGTTTATGGAAATAACCATCCATATGGTGAAACAGAAGGATATCAAACAATTGAACATTGCCTGTCACAACCTAGAGAAAAAAAAATCAAATTTGTGGTTAGAAGGAAAGAAATAATAGAGATAAATGAAATAGAAGCTAGTAAGAGGAAATAAAAATCAGTGAAATAAAGTGTTGCATCTTTGAAGAGAGAAGCAAAGTTGTTTATTTTTTAGAGCTGTGGCTTTCACCTGATTTGGAGAGGCCCTCCCCCTCTGATAAGGACAGTGCACAGATCTGTGCTCCTGTTATCTCCTTGCTCCCATCCCAATTTTCAGATTCTATTGCTTTCCTTATTGATTTCATTTGTTCAGGCTTCCTTCTCAGCCACGTCAGTTCACAACAGAAGATGGGTTGCCTCAGTGGTCCTGCAGAGGTTTGCATCTTCAACTTGATCATTCACAACTTTCCCTTTCTATTTTTCATTATATGTGTGTGTGTGTGTGTGTGTGTGTGTGTGTGTGTGTGTTTAGGGCTGTCATAAGCCAGTTGACCACAAATTCTTTGTTATTGATATATACACCACATCAAACAAATTCCTTGAGCTTTATAAGAACTTACCCCCCACCTGCTCCTTATTCTATGACAGGTGATTTTTTTTTTTTTGTTAGAAATAATGAGTTATGAGGATACCATTTTGCCTTGACAAGGAAGTTGCCTGTGCACTTGTTTAATCCATGACAAATCTAATCTGTTCTCTGTGGACTCCCCTGGTGCAAGTCAGTGTGACAACGAGGGTGGTGGCAGCATGCAGACAGTACTCTTAACCTGTTTATTGTGTAAGTGGCCACATTATCAGCTTGGATTGTATTATATTAACTACCCTGAGTATCAGAGCTATTGTAAGAAATCTGGTGACCTGATGATTATGGAGAAATAGCCAAAGCCTGTTGTAAATTTTCTGTCACATAAAGTCTTTTATAAGGTTGTAATAGTTTGCTTAAACATTGCTAAGTTATGCAAGCTTGGTGTTGTCTCAATATGTTTATTTCTCCATAAAGCTTAATAAGAAAAGTTTTCACTTCTTACATGGCTAAGGAACTGCATTTCCATATTCTTAAGTATTTGTTAAAAAGGCAAAATATTCAGAATTAGAACTTTTTTTTTTGCTATAATATAATGAATAACCAATCATTTGACTTTTGTTTGCTGTTGCAGTATCCTAAGGGTATAACCTTGGAGGCCTTCTCAGTTATTGTCACCCAGATGCTGGGACTCAATTTGGGAATATCATATGATGATCCAAAGAAATGTCACTGCCAAGATGCCATCTGTGTAATGAATCCAGAAGCTGTGTAAGTTTACAAGTACTTGTTTAACGGTCATTCTTGCTTTGTTTTAAATATTTGAAGTGCAAAGATTTTATATTTACTTAAAACATGAACTATAAGTTAACCACTTAATTGTAGATCATAATGTGCAAGTTGGAATGTGTATAGATTGAGGAGTATTATTAGAAGCAACCAAGGTTGTATATTACATATGTTTATGTACAAAGACAACCCCATCTGATTCTCACAATTTGTATTACATATTAGCATAGAAATTCTACTTAGGATACGTATTTGGTAAAAACACTGAGTAAGAAGAATAAAAAATATCAATAGGACATAAAAGAAAATGGTTGCCTCACTAATGTTTTGGTTTTGCTTTTTGAAATTGTAGAGGAACATTAAATCCATTCAGTGAGCCAGAAAATCGAGTTGAAGATTAATATCAGATATGCAGGATTTGTGTGTCTTTGGACAAACTTGGCCTAGCTTTTATTTACCTGCTTTTTTTTTTTATATCATTGGGGATAGCCCCCATTCTTATTCTGTTTCTTTAGAATCAAAAGATGCTGTAAGAATAAAATGAGAGAATAGAAAATGACGTAGTATGTAATAATTTGATATAAATTGTATAAACTGTGTATGTATATGATGTGTTAGGTATAGCGATTTAGAAATTTAGTGATATCCTTCATCAACACAAGAGTTACTACAGGTTACATTGGTATTTTTTTGTCTGTTTTCTATTATTGAATGTGCCCTATGATGGGTACTACCAGTTCATTACTAAAGAACTATCGAAAAGCAAATGTGAAAATAAGGCATTAACTTTGCAAAACATGACTTTTCATAATTATATCTAAGTACAACTAAATATGTTAACGTTCATGGCCTACTGATGGAATGAACTAAAATATACATATTTATACTTTTATATGATACATATCATTACATTAAAACTTGCTCTAAAAAGAGTTCTTATATACAGATATATCCATTTTGTATCTATCTATCTATCTATCTATCTATCTATCTATCTATCTATCTAATGAATATATACTGCCCATGTAAATGCATAAGTTTAGAGAAATATCTTCACATACACATATGCACACACATACATCAGGATACTTAAATTTTTGAAGGGATAGAAGCTACTAGGTCAATTTATTTTCATGCAAAAATTTAAATTCATGTACAGGATGATGCTTCAGAAAGTTTATACAGAGCATGTACTAAGAAAAAACTAAACATAATTTCCAAAAATGTTTTGCACTATAACAAACTTACTTTTAAATGTTATTTTAATAGACTTTTAGAAATGAATCCTCATATTTAAGAATTAGTACTGAGTATGATAACATTCTGAACAGTTTGAAAATTGCTCTTCTGAGTTCATTTTTTGTTTAGCTATTCTAAAATATGTTATGAAAGGTTTTTTGTGTTTTACCAAGAACTTACTATTAAGGTTTATAAGTTTAATTCATATTTATAATATATTTACTAGATATATGCCAGAAACATTTCTAGACACTTTGTATATATAAATTTTTCTATTTTATTTTGAATTTATGGTACAATTCCATTAGGCCTAGGGTTTCCCTACCCTTCTTCAAATTCCCTCCCCCTAACTGATTTTTCCCATATCATTATAACAGTATAGTCCTTCATAAGCAGTGATAAGTCTATCAGACTACTATTTGTGTGTCCTTACATTGTTGGTACAGACAATGGCAGACAGTCCAGCATCCTCTTGTCAAGATACATCCAACAGTTTCATTGGGAGTCCATCTTTGATTTGGAAGTAGAGATACACACTGCGTTGTATCTTAACATCTGGATATGATAGTCTCCTCTTTGCAGTTACTATATTTCTTTTAAATGAGAAGCCATGAAACAAAGTCAACAACAGGAATAAAGTTAACAAAAAATTGCAGCACCATGGAACTAAGTAACATGCTGCTGAATAGTCAATGTGCTAATGAAGACGTGAAAAAGAAAACAGCTTCTTGAATAAAATGGTGCTGCTGTGTGATCCACGAGTCAGCCAAGAATTTGATAAAAGAAACTATTCTGAAGAAATGAAAATAAGACAAAAATATCAAAAACACATAGGTTGCAGCAAAAGCAGCATGAAAAAGGTCATTGATCTCACAATTTGCACAAAGGTTGACCAGTATCAGGGAGAACATATGGTATTTGTCCTTTTGGGGTTGACTTATTTCACTGAACATAATGGTCTCCAATTGGGATCATTGGTTGCAAATTGTAGAATTTCATTCTTTTTGATGGCTGAGTAGCCCTTCGTAGAGTACTTGTATCATAATTTTCTTTTCCACTCCACTTTGGATGGGCGTCTAGGTTGTTTCCATGTATTCGCTATTGTAGATTGTGCTACTGTACATCTATTTCCCATTGCAGATTTCATTTCCTTTGAGTATATTCCTAAGAGCAGGATAGCTGGGGTCATATGGCAAGTTCATTTGCAATTCTCCAAGCACTCTCCGTACTGATTTCCACAATGGTTGTACTAGCCTACACTCCCACCAGCAGTGAAGGAGGGTGCCTTTCTCCCCACATCCACACCAGCAGGTGTTGTTATTTGAGTTCTGAATGTAGGCCAACCTCACTGGAATTAGTTGGTACCTCAATGAAGTTTTCATTTGTATCTCTCTGATGGCTAGGGAGTCTGAGCATCTTTTCATATGTCTGTTAGCCATTTGAATCTGTTCTTTTGAAAAAATGTCTGTTCATTTCGTTTGCTTAGTTCTTCACAGTTTTTTTTTTTTTTTCTGTGCCTGGGTTTTTGAAGTTCTTTATAGATCCTGGATATTGGTCCCCTATCAGTTGTGTAGTGTGCAAACATTTTCTCCCATTCAGTTGGTTGCTTCTTCACTTTGTTGATTGTTTCCTTTGCTGTACAGAAGCTTTTTCGTTTGATGTAGTCCCATTTGTTCATTTTGGCTTTGACTGCCTGTGCTTTTGTGTCTTTTCCTTAGACAAGTCTTTCCATGTTCCTATATCTTGGAGTGTGCTTCCTATGTTTTCCTTCAATAGTTTGATAGTTCGTGGGTGTAGATTTAGGTCCTTGATCCATTTAGAGTAGATGTTTGTATAATGTGACAGGTGTGGGTCTTGCTTCTTACATCTGCAAGCTTCAAGCTGCTATCCAGTTGACCCAACAGCATTTGTTGAATAGACCAGGTTTTTTGCCTGGATTGTTTTCAGGCAAAGCCTAGGACTTTCCCACCTCATGGCAGCGGTAGCCATAGTCCGTGTCCCAGGCATTGGGTCTGGCCTGGCTCGGGTACTCCTTGCAGCCACCATGCTGCAGAGCGCTCCTTTCGCCCCAGCCCCACAGCCGAAACTAAATAAAATTTAAAGTAACTATCATATACTCATTCTCCCAGTTTACAGATTGTCTGAATTTTGACATTTGTGATAAGACAAATAATCTAATATGTAATATAATTAAAAAGAAATAATCAAACAAAATAGAGCTTCAGTTTGCATCAGTTTCACCCTTTCCGTATAGATTTTCACTGCTTGTTAAAACTTACAGTTTCACAGAAAATATTCTCTAAAATTGTTTTTACTAATAGTATGTGTGTGTAATAATGTGAAATATTATTTCTCTGAGATCTTTGAGGAAATTCAGAGCTAAGCATATTATAATATTTTAAAGTAAAATTTTGTCCAGGGCCATTGTGCTGGCCTAGTGGGTAAAATCCTTGCCTTGCACACACTGGGATCCCATATGGGTGCGGGTTCTAATCCCATATGGCGACCCTGCTTCCCATCCAGCTCCCTGCTGTGGCCTGGGAAAGCAGCCAAGGACATACCAAAGCCTTGGGATCCTGCATCTATGTGGGAGACCCAGAGGAAGCTCCTGGCTCTTGGCTTGGGATTGACTCAGCTCTGGCTGTTGTGATCACTTGGGGAGTGAATCATTGGACAAAAGATCCTTCTCTCTGTCTGTCCTCTCTATATATCTGACTTCCTAATAAAAACAAATAAATCTTTAAAAGTGTTTTTTTGTCTGTTAAATGCTATTTTTTATTTGGAACACTGTTGAAGTTTTTTCCTTGAGTTTAAATTATGTAATTTTTGGTTTTTATTATTGAGTTGTATTTAAGTTTTTAAAAACCAAAGGCATGTTTTTTCAGTAAGTGAGTTAAGTCATATGCTCTATTAAAAAAATGAATCTGGTCTCTAAGCACTTACTATCAACTCTCACTATTGCTTCTTAAGTTTGAACATTTTTGAAGTGATGTTTGTAATGTAGAATTATGCTTTCAGAAGCATATTGTCAATGACATTATGTGCCTTAACCTTTAGGATATCCAGTGGTGCCAAGATTTTTAGCAACTGCAGTTTGAATGACTTTGAAGGTTTTGTTTCAAGCGAGGGTGCCAGCTGTCTGCGGAATAAACCACAAATGCAGAGAGCTGGGAGACCGCACTGCGGCAATGGCAGGGTGGAGGCCGGCGAAGTCTGTGATTGTGGCCCTGTGCAAGTAAGTCTTAGAGCTAGAACCCCTCAAGAATACATACATCGTTTTAGTTCTCATGTTCATAAGTGTTCTATACGAGTTTGAAATGTACTACCAAAACGATTGATAATGGGAAAATGATAGAATTTACAAATAGCTTTTACACTGCAGACGAAATGTAGAAGAATGAAGTGTTTCCAGTCTCCGCTTAACCTTTGGATATTTGTATGTGCTCGCTGAGGATTCGCGTGGGAGAAGCCTATCACACGCTCATTAGGGCATCACTTCACAGTGGGTTCAGTAGTACGCTGGGGGAAGCTGTGCTAACACTGCAACCCGAGTAGAAGGCAGTTTTGTTATTCACTTGGAGAGGAAGCCCTTGTAACACAATGAAATAAAACTGTCCCGAGTAGAGTCCTTCAGGATCATTCAGTAGTTGCAGCAATTCTGCCAATGTGGTTGATTTACTTCATTAGTTTTGAAAGAAATGATATTAAGGTTTGTCACAGGCGTTGAGCTGAATGACTTATACTCACGTCACGTTGTTTTAAATTAGGACCTTGAACTTGACAGTACACATTTTCCTTACGTTTAAGATAATATAAAATACAACTGTTTAATTTCTTAAACTTTTGATTTCAAAATAGTTTTAAACAAATGAAACAAAGATTTTGTAGAATTCTCATATGTGCCAAGCCCAGACCGCCCCCCGCCCCCGGTGGTTAGCCACATAGTATATATTATTGTGTCACAACTAATGAGCCACTTGCAGGCTTTCCTGGTTTTTATGAGTCCAAACTCTCCTCATCCTTCCAGCCTCTAAATCAGCATTTTGTGTTCAGATTTAAAATTTCTTTTAAACTCTTATGTATGAAGAGGGACATGTGGTATTTATATTTATGCATTGGATTTATTTCGCTTAACGTGATGTTCTGCAATTATATCCGTTTGCTGTGGAAGAGAATATTTTATTGTTTGGTATGGATGACTAGTATTCCAGGCATGTGTGGTTTGTGTGTGCGCATGCCAGAACATTTTTAAAAAAATTTATCTGATGGACATCTTTGTTGTTTTGTATCTTGGGTGTTGTGAAAAGTGCTGTGATACACAGTGGGACATGTAGGAAAAGTTTTAATGATTTTTTTCTTATAATTCCTGGCCCCTACCTCAATTCCGAAACTCTTAAGTACACATCTTAGGTTTCTTATAGTGTCCTACAGTTCATGGACGATTTTCTTCTCCTTTTTAGTTCTTATTTGCTTTTATTTCCACGAATCCCCATTCCTATAAAACCATATCATGGCAAATAATAAGTAAAATGGCTTGAAAAACTGGATGAATTATTGTTGAGCAGGTTGCCACTGAAACAAAAAGGTCTGGAATTGTCATTTCTTCAGGTTCTAGTAATACTGTTCATCATAACATTATGTAATTGCTAAAGCATAAGATTACTAATATCACAGTAATACTGTTAAACATAGTCCGAGCAACCATACTGTGATAACACTAATCACTGTTTCTTCAGGTTCATGTAAGTTTTCTTTCAATGTCTAAGATTTCTTTAAAGTGATAACAATGATGACTGGTATGAGAATTCTAGACCTTTTTCTTTCGATGACTCCCTGTTCAACATTAATTCACCCAAGTAGTTCAGCAGCTTCATTTACTTACTTGGTATTTTCCATGATGTGGTTTTGTCAAGTATAGGGAGTCCGTCTTCCTCCCTCCCCACCCTCCGCCCCTCCCACCCTTTCCCCCGTATTGTCACAATGGTATGATCCTTCAGCAATGGTCACTATTCCAACATTCTTTTCTGTAGGTTTATCATGGCGTTGTCGGTATAGACAATGGTAGAAAAGCTAGTATCCTATTGTTAAGGTATATTTAACAGTTTCATTGGGAGTCTTCCCTTTATTCAAGTGGAGATGCATACTGCAATGTACTTCACCATCTGATGTTGCAGTCTCCATTATACAGTTCATGTGTGAGAACATATGTATATATAGTTTTTACCTAATTCAGTGACTTTTTTGTATTCATAGTCTGTTTATTTATTTCCATGTTTTTCTTTATTTTTGACAATCTTTATATAGTTAATTAGGGCACAAAGGTTCAAGGGCTACAGGAATGTGGGTAAGACTATTATTTCCACTTTTTTCCCCCCTGTACCTGGGGTAAAGGGGGAGATAAAGGGAGAAGCGCCCTCCAGTCTCCCACCCACCCCAGGTCCCCGATGTGGGGGGCATGCTCCGAGGGCCTTGCTCAAGTGGTTTTGTTAGTTCAACAGTTATGAATTGCTGCCAATCTCGCCATTCCAAGCACGATGAGGTCACTGCAGAATCCACTGATTGACATAGTCAGCAACTTTAAAGACCCATCTTTGACTTTGAAAGCCAATAAAATTATTGCAGTCTGATGGGAAAATTCCTCTAGGTGGAAGGCTGGTGACTTAAGGCTTGTTGTACTCATTTCCCTTCGCTAAAGAGAACTGCATGCTAATCAGTTTCTGGGACAAATTACTTCATGTGCGTTTTTTTTTTCTTTCTTTTTTAAAATTTGGATAAAAGGTTAAGTGGGGTATTGGTTACTTCATGAGCTGAAGTTGGGGGATACTAAACCCTATAAATGTTAGCAACGTTCACATTTCTCCCCAAATGAACAACTGAAGCCAGTGGACGGAGCTTTTCCTGAAGCCGACATGACTGCTCTGTGTTTGATCCCCAGCATTGTGGACAGGACGACTGTTGCGACCCACGCAGCTGTCAACTGAAACGAGGGTATCAGTGTCTGTCGGGAGAATGCTGCCACGATCAAGGCTTGGAACGCTGTCATGTAAGATTTGTATTTATTACCATGGTCTAGTTACGTAACAAGTCGTGTGCTTTAGAACGCTTGTGGCTAAATAACTGAATCTTTACATAAACAATCATTTAGAACCGAATCTCTCTGACTTTGTGACTTTTCTGTTGGCTCTTGGGGCCTCCTTCGGATACGAAATGTTTTCATGAGCTTGATGGCTTTGTTTTTGAAGTCTTGATTTAGACCTTTTACAGGATTCTTCAGTATTGCAGATCTTTGCCGGCAGGGGCAGTTATTCACTCTACCCTGTGTTTGCATTTCTGCAAATTGAAATTTTACTGGTTATGATAAGTATTTATAAATATATTGTGGAAGGAACAGGGCTTCTCCAAAAACATGAGGAGTGAAACCCAGTAGAAACAATATTTTCCAAATGGCTCTTGTAGCAAAAAAAATTTAAACTATGAATTTATTATTTAAAATAATTTTATTGAATCAAATTACATGGTGAGCCATTTGACTCTGTTCCCTGTTGTTCTTTTCAGCCCTATCATCTTTGTGGCAATCTTATCATACAATGTTTTTATTGAACTGCTTACCATGTGTTCTTTATTGCCGACTATATTTGACTCACAGCTTTGTATTTTTTCTTTATCATATGATTACATGCTTGTCTCTGTAACATTTTTGTATCTACTAGAAATGAGACAGATATCTATTTAAAATTCTTTGTACACACGTTTGGAATTTTATTTCCAAAGGATTAACAAAGAAACTCAGGACAAAGATTATAATTAGGTTTTTTTTGTTCAACAACTGTTTTTTTTATCCCTCACTTCTTCTCTTCAACAGTGTGTGTGTTGTCATAAGATTTCTAAGCAGTCCACACTCACAAACTCTGGTTTTATAGGATTATTTTATTTGAAAACGGACTAGATTACATTATTTTACCCTGAAACGGGACTAATTTTCCAAAGCTAAATGTTGCTGTTTGTATGTTACATTGAAAGTACAAACACAGCTTCGATGTCATATTTGTATTATTTTCCTTGTTTATCTTATCTCTTGATTTTATGTGATAGCATTCAGTTAATTTCTAAATTGTTAACCATTGACAAAAAGATATTGATAATTATTCATCAACGGAGCAATAATATGAGCTAGTGGCAGAACTTTGAAGGGGATATGGACATTTGGAAATGCTTGTGTATCAATATTGTTGCAAGTACAGATTTGTAAAACTTTGTTTTATACCTTTGTCAAACCGACGGTTAACCATGTTATACTACTATAATTTATTTAAATCACCTGTGAATATATTTTATTGTATATGGATGAAGTGGTCATTTTCTGATTTAATTACTGCTTATGGTGGTTGCTGATATTCCCACTAAACTAAGCCCTTTGTACGTTTTACTTGTTAAATTTCTGTTTTTTTTTTTGTGTGTGAAATATTAATCTTTTTCCTGCAGAGCAAATCTAACATGTTATCTTAAAAACTGACAAAAAATAAAGGGAGAAGGAGGGTGGATGGCAAAGAGGGGGAAGGGAGAGAGGAAGACAGTGCCATTGTATTCTTAGAATTGTATCTATACTAATCATATTGAATATGTTACATATGATTAAAACACTCCAAATATAAAATAAATAAATATAGAAAAACATGATGCTATTATATGTAATGCTTTATTTTATGTTTTAACTTGTGCTAGTTTAAGGATAACAGACACGTGTGTAGACAAAGTATCAATCCTGAGTGTGACATAGAGGAGCGGTGTAGTGGAAACTCAGCAGACTGTCCCCCCGACATAACTGTGCACAATGGACAATTATGCAAAGGCGGCAGATACACCTGCTATGATGGAGAGTGCCATGACCTCGATGCACGCTGTGAGGCCATATTTGGAAATGGTAATATCTTTTGTTACATGTAAATAATTGGAATCTCGTAACAAATAGCAAGTGTGTATATTTTTATGTTTGGCTTGATGTTAATAAGCCAGTGGCATTTTCATCACAGTCTCTATGCTTTTGAGTTGATAATTTCCAGATAGATGGTATAAGCATATTCTGTATCTTTTGGGGGCTTCCTGAAGCTTGCTTTTTGGCATGGCATACAATATATTCAATCCATGCACTGATGAAAAGAATGCATTTTCTGTAACTGTTGGATGAGATACTCTGCAGATAACCATTAGGTCTATTTTTTTTTTCTATAGCACAGATTAGATCTGATGTTTCTCTTGTCAGTTTTCTGTCTGGTTGATCTTTCCATTGATGAAAGTTGGGTGCTAACCTCCCTCTTCCTGTCTTATTGGTGTCTGTGTCTCTCTGGATGTAATAACAGTTGTATCCTGGCATTGGGTGTGTATATGTCTACTATTGTCACTACTTCTTGTTGAATTGCTCCATTCTGTATTGCCTTTTGTGTTATTGAGAGATCTTTTAGTACTCATTTGACCTTGCTAATTGTTTTTCTTGTGTTCATAATTTCATTATTGATTTCTATGTCTTCATGGTTCAATACTGAAGATGTAGTCGAGGCCAATTATCAGTAACATCTGAGTCACTCAAAAGGAAGGTGATCCATACTTTCCCTGTACTAATTATGTGAGTTCCGTTTTAACATTTTATTTTTGTTGCACAAAATTATGGGTGCATATTGTGATGAACCTACCCGTGTAGTTGACAGGTTCATTAACACTCTCACCTCTTTAACCTGTGAGATCAGAAACGATAGCATGGCTGTCCAGCTGTTTTTAGAAGAAGTGAGGTGCTTTGTTTTGAGAGGGCCACGTGCCCAGGAGCTAAGGGAAATTTTCTAGTCAAAAGCAATCTCTGGCAGACATCTGGCAACAGAATGGCACTCAGGTCTACAGTTGCACAAAATTAGATTCTAAAAACAGCCGATGAACTCCAAAGAAGACGCTAACCTCACGTGAAGTGGTAACCCCAGCAATTAGTTTGATTTTAGCCTAGGGAACCCTTGAGCAGAGAAGACATCTGAGCCTTGCTGGACTAGTGGCCTACACAAACTGTGGCATAATCGATGCATATGGTTTTAAGATGCCAAGGCTTTACTTTTTCTTTTGTTATACAGAGGAATAAAAATATGCACCATAATAATAAAGGAACATTTTGTAAATATTGACTCCTTCGATTGAACAACACGAAGATTTCATGAAGTAATGTCATATATAGAAGAAGTCTCATTGACACATACCTTTTGAACAATTCTCATTAAGTATTTGGAAGAACCAATACGGTTTTATAGACTTTCTGATCCTTTGGCAGAGCCATCTTTCAGTTTGTATTCATATCACCTTGACCTTGTCCTCTCCTACATTATTTTTGTGATGTAACTGCAAGTGAAGAAAAAGGCAATAGCAATGAACATTGCCTTTCAGTTTAATTCTTTTTCTTTTGTAGGAAAAGTCTGGATTATTTAATAGTGGAGAAACAAAGAGATTATATACTAAATAAGAATTAGAACAAATAACATGTTGTTAGCCTTTCCCTGCATTAAGTGACTATATAGTGTTTGTGAGTTTAGAGAAGGGAATTCAAAGACTCCACTTCTAAAATGTCAAAGAAGAAGAAGTGATGATTGCCCTGACTTGATAAATATACATGTATTGAAATGTCACAGTGAGACCCATTAATATGTGCTATGACTGACAATAAAAGCATTGTAAAGATGAAAAATGAGTAACTAGATGAAAAAAAGGAAAAAAATGCTTAAGTAGGTTTCTAACTTTGACAGGTTCAAAAAATGCTCCATTTTCTTGCTATGAAGAAATACAATCTCAAGCAGATGTTTTTGGAAACTGTGGTAAAGAAAGAAACAAATATAAAGCCTGTGGATGGAGGTATGCACTATAAATACTAACATCTTTTTTTACACTTTTCCCCACTTTTTCCCTCCCTCTGTTAGACATGCCATTCATTCCAGTGGTTTTGATGAGCCATCTGCACATAAGAGTGAATCTCAAATACACATTTCAAGCTCTGACATTTTTAATTCATATTGTTTATGTGTACTGGATCGAGATATAGGGCCCCAATATGTTAGTGCCAGATTGAAACTTGCGCTATTCTCTATGTTGTGGACATTCCATTTCATACTGACTGTTGCAGCCACTCACTGACCTAATTCCAGACTCTTCCCTTTCCTTGGTGAAGAATCAATAAAGGTGGGCAGTAAAACAGGCTTTATTTAAAGAGAGATAGTGTACATTCTATCTCTATGGTTGGCTCTTTGTGTCCAGCTATTTGTTAATGGCCTGAGCAAAACAGTGGAAGATGTCTTCAAATGCTTGGGTCCCCACAAAACACATAGGGGCCTTGAATGAAGCTCCTGGTCCCTGAGTTTGGCCTGGTTTATCTTTGGCTATTGCAGTCATTTGGGAAGTAAGCTAACAAATAGAAGACACTACCCACCCTCAACCCTCCAACCCCTGTGTGTGTTTAGCTTTCCTTCTTTGTAAACTGACTATTGAATAAGTGAATACACTTAAAAAATTTTTTTTTAAAGAAAAAAAGAAAAGAGAATTGCTCACCTCAAGGTTGGGGTCATCATTTTATAGGATAGAAGGTGGTGCTCTAATTGAATATTCTAGTGGGCTGAGTTGGGTGTGGCTTCGGTGCTTCTTTATTGGGATTCCTGGAGGACAGACACATGGTGTCTTCATCCGGGTGAAGTAGGTAGATGCTTATCATGGCATCTCTTGCATTTCAGGGAGTGAGATTCAACTGAATGATGGGTAACAGGTGTTCAGGTCTTGTATCAGGTTGGAGGGGCCTGAGAGAGTTGAATTGGTTGATGCAGGCCTGTGACATAGATGCTGGTGGTACTCTCTCAGCTCCTGTTTGCTCCCTAGCTCCGTGTCTTCCTAAATAAGCTGTACATTTCCTTTCCAAATATGCTTATTTGTGCTCATGAAACTTGAATATCCACTCACCTAGTTGCTTGTCCAAGATGAACACGGCTGATAATGTTCGGTTTCTCTTGCACCTAAGTTTTGCCTCTTTCATATTTTACTGTAGGTTTAGCAAACTTGTATTTAAGAAAACATTATGTGCTAGACATCAGGATCAAATATTAGTCAGTAAAACATTGTTATAGAATTTACAGATTGATAAGCATATATGTCGAGTGTATTTTTGTGCCTTCTGGATTTGCTTAGGCTATTTTTTTAATCGTTATAATACTCTTTTGTTAGAGACTTAATAGATTTGATTCAGATGGTGTCTTTTCTGTGACGTTTTCTGTAACTGTCAGTTGAGTCCCCACCTAACATTTGTGTAAGGGTTTATTTCATCCCATTTGAATGGATTTGAATCAGACTCAATGTTAGACTGAAACTGCCTTGAGGGTAGGAGTAACAGTTTGTCTTTTTTGTTTGTCTATAAGGAGAGATAAAATGATGGGGTGATTTGATTAGCTGAGAGTCAATATATAATATATACACAATGAATGAAAAGCTATTAAGAATGAAAACCTGACATTTGCTGCAAGGTGGATGGAACTGCAGATGATTATGCTAAGTGAAAGAAGGCAGATCCGGAAGGAAAAATAGCACTTGTTTTCTCTTGTTTTGAAAGTTAACATACAGAAAGTATGAAAATTGCATGAGAGTTGTATCACTTGGAATATATTTATAAATATTGGTTCACTGAATTATATACCGTGCACATGACAACACGCCTTTCTTTCAACACATTGTGACCGTTGTCATGAACCCTTCCCTTAGTGGACAGTAATATCTACTTTCAAGAAAAAAATAGTACATGGGTCCAGCACGGTAGTCTAGTGGCTAAAGTCCTCACCTTGCATGTGCTGGGATTCCAAATGGGCACCAGTTTGTGTCCCAGCTGCCCCATTTCCCATCAAGCTTGCTGCTTGTGGCCTGGAAAGGCAGTAGAGGATGGCCCAATAGCCTTGGATCCCTGCACCCCTGTGGGAGACTCAGAAGAAGTCCTGGCTCCTGGCTTTGTATTGGCTCAGTTCCTGCCATTTTGGCTACTTGGGGAATGAATCAGAAGACGGAAGATCTTCCTCTCTGTCTCTCCTCCTCTCTGTATATCTGACTTTCCAACAACAACAACAACAACAAAAATCTTTAAAAAATATTTATTTGTTTTTATTGGAAAGTCAGATTTGCAGAGAGAGAGAGAGAGTGAGAGAGAGAGAGAGAGAGAGAGAGAGAAAGATCTGTCTGCTAATTCACCATGAAGCTAGGAGCCAGGAACTTCCTCGAGGTCTCCCACATGGGTACAGGGTCAAAAGGCTTTGGGTCATCGTTGACTGCTTTCCCAGGCCACAATCACTGAGCTGGATGCAAAGTGGGGCTGCCGGGATTAGAACTGGAGCCCGTATGAGATCCTGGTGAGTTCAAGGCGAGGACTTTAGCCACTAGGCTACTGCGCTGGGCCAAAAATAAATAAATCTTAAGAGGTAAGAATAAATACTACAAGGGATATGTATATAAGGTCTACATAGGCAGTAGATGTGGCGAGATAGTCAAATTGTTCCATTTTAAAGCTTAAAAATAAACACAGAAAGAATCTTGTTAGTACTACTGAATGGCAGGCCATTAGATAAATGGATTCATACATTTTTACCTTTTTTTGTTACTGTTAAAATAATACATTTTATCCTGAGTACACTGACATAAATGGAGAGTAATTATTTTTTTTTCTAAGAAAAGAAAGCAAGTCCAAATTAGTTCTAATAAATGCTTAATGCATAATGGTTATTTGTATTTATTATATTTGCAGGAGTCTCGTATGTGGACGATTAATTTGTACTTACCCTTCTCGAGCTCCTTTTCATCAAGAAAATGCTGCTGTAATTTATGCCTTTGTAAGAAATGTAATATGCGTGACTATAAACTACAAACTGGCTGCTTCTGCTCCAGATCCACTGGAAATCAAAAATGGCTCTGAATGTGAAACAGGGAGGGTAAATAATTTAAAAGCCATCTTTATGACCTCTAGTTTTAGTCATTGTTTCAATACACTTTTTGTCTTTGAATCAAATTTAATTATTTCCTAATGCCATGTGATGTTGGGCAGTTGAGGTACAAAACGAATATATTTGATCAATTTCTAGATATGAAACAGGTCAATGATAATGCCTTTCAAAATTTCCATGTGTTGAGCAAGGAAACTGCAAGTATTTTAAGGATGGAGTGGGAAGAGGCGAAGTCTTAAAAATATGTTGAGATGAAGTACTTAGTAGCATTGGAAATCATGGACTTTCTGAGGTTAATGTAGTGATCCTACTTTGTATAGAAGTGAATCTCTACGAAGCTCAGTGTTTAAGAGCCCACTTCATATCGGGCATCTTAGAATCAACCAGTAAGAGCTAATCTTTGATTCTAAGCTGCCCAATGAAAGGTGACCGCTCTTTGAGAGACGTAAAATACATTATGGTTGTTGTATTTAGTATTTGTTTATTCTCCCTTGGAGCGGGGGGTAGTCCTACTTTCTATTTGTTCAAAATTATGATTTGCAGCAAATTAAGCCCGCAAAAAGAGAGTGCGTTAAAATTATGTCAGCAAAAACCAATAAAGAGAGGGGAGGGAACAAGGGAGGCAAATTGACTAGGGAGAAGGGACATGAAGGAAATGATATTGTCATTTTGGGTTTGTTCCAATGGAATGCATAAATCCATTCTCTTTATGTCCATGTAGAATTTTAAAAAAGCGATAGTTGGTAAGAATGATTACATTGAATTTAGAGATAATTTGTGGGGAACTGTTTCTTGGAAAAGACTTGTCCTGTGCTTTAATGTGTGAAAGTAAGGATTTTTTTACATTCATCTCATTTTAACTTACAAATTGAAGCGCTTTTATGTTTTGCAAAATTACATGTTTTTAGAAACTTTGCTTCTGTAAGAAACTTTTAATTTTGGGAATATTTCAAATGTAAGTCACAGAGTTGGAAAAATATTCTGAACATTTTGTATTATGACTATTACACTTTATTTTTTAAACTGAAAACACACACACACACACACACACACACACACACACACACACACTTATTTGAAAGGGAGACACTCAAGTTATGAGAAAGTAGATTCCTTTCACGAACTCCAAGCACCCAAGTCTAGTTTTCTGTGTATCTGGCAGGGACTCACTTGATATCACTTGAACCTGCAAGGTGTGAACTAGCTGTTCAGTGGAATCAGGAATACAGCCTGGGATTCAAACTTGATCATTTTGAACCAACAGGCAACATGCCTATCCCTGCTCTCTCTTTGATTTTTAAAAGCTTTGTGAACATTTACTTATGAAAGGCGGAGAAGGAGAGGAAGAGAGAGAGGGTGAGGGAGAAATTGGATTAGTCTTTTCACTCTAGAGAGTGAACTCTTGTTCATTTCCCAAATAGTCCAGATGCTGTGGTTGGCCCAGGCTGAAGCCAAGATACTGGAACTCCTCAGAATATTCCCCCATGTGTTGGCAAGGGGTCAAGCCCCAGGGCCATCCTCGACCCCTTTCCCAGGCGTGTTAGCAGGGAGCTGGATTGGAAGTGGAGCAATTAGGACTTTAACTGGCACCTGTACGGGATGCTGGTGTCACAGGCTTAATTCACTGTGTCACAACGTTCATTGTATCTCTTAAGAGCAATACATATGCTTTTTGATATATTTTATAATTATGAATATACGATAGGTTTAATATATAACTTAATAATTATAAATAGGTTTAAAATGTGTTTTAAAATATTTCTAATAAAGGGGAGAGGGAAGAGAGAGACTAGAGGAGAAAGAGATTAATTCCCATGAATTGATTCACTCCCTCAGTGCGTTCACCCGCCGGGATTGGGCCAGGGCAGAGCTGGGAGGCTGAGCCAAGGCAGAGCTAGGAGGCTGGGCCAGGGCAGAGCTGGGAGGCTGGGGCAGGCCAGAGCTAGGAGACTGGGCCAGGCCAGAGCTGGGAGGCTGGGCCAGGCCAGAGCTGGGAGGCTGGGTCAGGCCAGAGCTAGGAGACTGGGCCAGGCCAGAGCTGGGAGGCTGAACCAGGACAGAGCTGGAAGGCTGGGGCAGGCCAGAGCTAGGAGACTGGGCCAGGCCAGAGCTAGGAGGCTGGGTCAGGCCAGAGCTAGGAGACTGGGCCAGGCCAGAGCTGGGAGGCTGGACCAGGACAGAGCTGGAAGGCTGGGTCAGGCCAGAGCTAGGAGACTGGGCCAGGCCAGAGCTAGGAGGCTGGGTCAGGCCAGAGCTAGGAGGCTGGGTCAGGCCAGAGCTAGGAGGCTGGCACTCAGCATGGATCTCCAGCATGGGGAGAGGGACCCAGATGCTCCAAGCGTCCTCTGTGGCTTCCCAGCTGAAGCGGTAGCAGCAGGGTACATTGCAAATGCGACTTGTGGGATGTGGTATCCCAGTGATAACTTCACCGCTGAATCAGATACCTTCCCCTTTGACTACATGTTGATGAAAATTCTGTCATGCCTGTTAAATACTCAGGGAACTCTAGTAACAGTCTGTAAGTCACAAAAGCAATGTATGTCACGATTGTGTTGTGTTTTCTGTGCATATTTTAAAATATATAACAAAAGCAGGATATCATTTTAATTATGAAACTATCAGCAATAGTTTTGTGAGGTTTCATGGCATTGCAATCAAATGTTATTCTTCAGTCATGACTTTTTTTTTATTATGATGAATCTTGTTTAGCTGATGTTCTCCATCTGCGCCTTAATGATTTCTAAGAAGTGTGTGTTTTAGTTTACCTTGAGGTTGATGACAAAATTGAGTCTATGATACATTGTCCACATTCCCCTTACTAACTATGTGCTATACAACCTATTCCACTATCCGCAGTGCACACCAGAGCGATATGGTTTTTTCCATAATTGGTTTACCTACACTGACTTGACCTTACCAACCAAAGTGCAAAGTTTACATAAATATTGCCTGGAGAATCCTCAAGTGCGCAGAGGTTGAAAGAAGATCTACTTTATTTTTATTGGAAAGTCAGGTATACGGAGAGGAGGAGAGACAGAGAGGAAGATCTATCCTCTGATTCACTCCCCAAATGGCTGCAACAGCCAGAGCTGTTCTGATCTGAAGCCAGGATCTCAGAGCCTCTTCTGGGTCCCCCACGTGGGTGCAGGGTCCCAAGGCTTTCGGGCCATCCTCTGCTGCTTTCTCAGGTCACAGACAGGGAGTTGGATGGGAAGTGCGGCAGCCGGGACAAGACCCAGCACCCATATGGGATCCCAGCACGTGCAAGGCAAGGACTTTAGCCGCTTAGGCTACCATGCCGGGCCCCAAATAAAGTATTTTAAAAAAGAATAACACATTGGCCAAGAAGAATACTCAACCGAAATTTGAAAATAGTTTGAGCTAAATGAAAGCAAAACTTTTCAAAACTTTGTGGAGCGCAGTGAGAGTGACACACAATGGAAATTTTACAGCATTGAAAGATTGTGATTTTATGTGTTCTATTGACTGGATGCCTTTGAACTTCTCTGGTCTGCTTTGCTTTAGATTTGTGTGAATCGTTTATGTGTAGAATCAAGAATACTCAGAAACCAGTCACACACGTGTTCTCTACAGTGTAATGGACATGGAGTAAGTAAACATTTCCCCCAAATCACATCTGTTTTGGGTAATACACATTTATTAGTTTTTTTGGCGTTTCTACCAGGTTCTATTGTATATGATTCTAATGTGGAGCTGTACTGAATAGCTACATTGAGCAGCTATTACCTGCTTTACAGTGCATCTTGAGAAGTATCGAATTGCTAACAAGTTTATTGTCGAATGATATCTTTTGTTTTAAAGATTTTTTTTTTAATGTGAAAAGTCAGATTTACAGAGAGAAGGAGAGACAGAGAGAAAGATCTTCCATCTGCTGATTCAGTCTCCAGATGGCCAAAATGACTGGCTGAACTGATCCAAAAGCAGGAGCCAGGAACTTTTTCTGGTTCTCCCATGTGGGTGCAGGGATCCAAGGCTTTGGACTGTCTTCTGTTGCTTTCCTGGGGCACATGCAGGGAGCTGGATGCGAAGAGGGGCAGCGGGATATGAACTGGCGCCCACTGGCACCCATATGGGATCCCAGCACAAGCAAGGCGAGGACTTTAGCCACTAGGTTGGGCCCAGAATGATATCTTTCAAAAGACATTAAATATTTCACAAAGGGAACATGTTTATGCCATGATTCCTGAGTCTATGAATACATTGATAAAGGAAAACAAAACTACTGATTTCACCTCTTTTTAAATGATAGACTATATTTTTAGAACGTATTTAGCTACTTAAGCTCTTATTTCTCATATAACCATTATCTTCTGCATCGCCCTTCCCGACTGTCAGCTGGTGGGATTTGGGTCACCAGTGGGGTTTCTGTTCACTGTAGCACCACCCCTGTGTGTGCTGCTTCCCTGCGCTCACAGGTCCCCAGCTACGTCTCTGTCGCCAGCCTGCCTACCTCTATTATCATCCATATTAAGGTGCCCTCACCCAATTCTACCATCTTTATTCCCTCTACAATGAAAATTATAAAACATTAATGAAAGAAGCAGGTGGTGCCAAAAAAAATGGAATAATCTTTCATGTTTGTGAATTGGTAGGATTAATAACATCGGCAAATCCATACTCACAAAAGCAACATACAGATTCAGTGTGACCCCAACCTAAATACCTAAGACATTTTTGTCTCATCTGGAAAAAGTGATGCTAACATCCATGAATTGAATTCAAGAGATCCTGGACAGCTAAACCAATCTTAGTAACGAAACAAAGGTGGCGGCTTCACAGAACTGGGCTTCAAGGTCTACTGCAGGGCAGTTGTAATCAGAATAGCCACATATTATGCTGAACCTAAATATCTGAGGTCCTTTTGAAATACAGAATGCCTGTACTTTACATGTTGAATTGATGGGAAGTAGTAGCTTTGAAGCTTCCTGGGATGCCTGCATTTTGGTATATGTGAATGTGAGCCTTGGCTCTGTTTCCATTTCCAACATTCTGTTGATGTCCATGCTGGGAGACAGCAGGTGAAGGTGCTAAGTTCTTGGGTCCCCAGCACCTACATGGGAGACCCAGGTGGAGGTCATGCTTCCTGGCTTTACCCAGGCCCAGCCGCGGGTATTGTAAGCATCTGGGGAGTGGAACGGTGGAAAAGAGCACTGTATCTCTAGCCTATCTAATGTATCCAACTTTATCTGTATCTCTCTTAAATAAATAAACATACAGATAATTTTGAAAAATATCAAACAAAGCTCAGTGGTGATTAAAGAATGTGAATATTCAGCAAACGGTCTGGGTGAAGTTGCAGTTCTCATTTTTAGGGGTGGGATACTTGAAGCTACCAACATGAACTCACCCACCATGAGACAGGAACTTTTGACAGTTATCTGGGAACCGGTGCCAGCTCTCTGCAGCAAAACTCAGGAAGGGTGGCAGTTTCATCTGAATTTCAGTCGAAAGCATTTTTTGGAAAATGAAAATGAAAATTTCAAGTTGACCTTCTAAAGTGTTAAAAGTTTCTTAATGCAAATATTGTGAATCTTGCTTAATGGATACCTTTTTTTTTCTTTTGTGTGTGTGTGTGTTTTTACACAAAAGCGTGCCTTGTTGTAACAAATCACATATTATATTTGTGGATTATTAATGACATAGATCACATAAGTTGCACAAATTTAAGGCACAAGAGATATTCATCTTATATTATATTCATCTTATAATTTCACTTTCCTGTGAGAATCCACGTTAATCATTTAATGTCTGAAAATGTCCCCAGGTGTGTAATTCTCAAGGAGCGTGCAATTGTACTGCAGGGTACCTACCTCCAAATTGCCAAAACCGTGCCAGGGGATTGCCTTTGTTGCCTGAGGAAAAGGGTAAATATCTTAAATTCTGAACTTGGGCATCGCCACTAAAGCACAAGTTACACTTTGCAGCTAACAAAGAGCCGAATTGTCATGAAAATATAAAACTGCTTCTGTCAAAGAATGGAAACCAAGTACCCCCTCAGCGTGAGGTTTCCTCCTAGCGAACATCGTGGTTGAAGCTGTGTTCAATCATTTCTGTTTGATATCACTGCCGGTATCCTTCGGAATCTTTTCAGTCTTCCTCTCTAACTCTCGAATTGATCCTAAGGCAGCATTTAGCCTGTTTCCGGCACTTACTAGTGTGTTTGCATTTGCACCGGTACAAAAATAACAAAAGTTTACTCTGAGTTTGCAATTTAAATGAGAAGCATAAATTTGGGATATACAGTAGCTGCTGCTTCAGGCACTGGGGATACAGAGGAAGCAAAAGAAAATCATGGAGCTTTGAGATCATGAGGGTGTCTACACCCGGTACCGACGAGTGACAGAATTAGGACTTGGAATTAATATCCCGATTTTTATGCCAGTGTTCTTTCAGGAGCACCACAGTGGATCTATATCTGAAAAGAAGGGTCCACATATCAAAAACCAGCAGCATCTTAAGGAAGACTGTGGCGTACAAACATACTGTGAAATCCTTTGATAATCTAACACCTTGAAAGTCTGTAATAACGAAACTTTGGATGACCTTGCAATTAGACTGTCCTGAATTCCAGATCACTGAAGTTACTTAGCCCCTTTATTATGTCAGTGAGAAGCTGCGGAACCTTCTGGAACTGGGCTTACAAATTTTAAAAATGAAAATTTGCACAGATTGTTTCAGGCATTATGATTCTAAATTTATTTTTATGTTCCTTAACTAGCAAGTAGTAACATGGTAATTTATCACGACTTTAAATAGGACACTTTATTTTAAGAAATATTTGATTTGTTAACTTTTTTTTTTTTTTTAGGCTTAAATAGCGGCTTAGAGGCTCCTATGAAGGGTAAGAAGCTTTGGCTACTAGGATTATACATTGGCATTCCTGTTCTCATCATAGCCACCGTATTAATCATGGCACGGCATAAGTTGAGAAGGCGGCTCACCAAGAAAGAAGAATCTGTTAAGAATGAGTAAGTTGAGCTTGTGTCCTAGGGTTAACTTTAGTGGCATTTGAATCTTGTAGTTTGTAAAGCAGTATCGTGAACAACGACAGGGCATTTCATTGAAGCAACATCAGTGCTTAGTCTAATTGTGTGAGACAATTGTGAATGTTCAAACAAAAAATAAAATTTGTAAGTATAACTTACAAATAACCCGCCAACGTCATAGCTCTTCTGTGTCAGAGATAATAGCATAGCTGTACCGAAGTTTATTGTTTTCAGATATTCCAGGGACTGCCAGAATGTGATCTGTGAGTTCTTATTGAAAATGTTGATTGTTGGGCATCACCACGGTTGAAATATATCAGGTTACATATTTGCCTATGTAAAAAATAATGTTTTTTTTTTTAAACCTAATCTTCTTGCTGGAGTTTCCAGAAGGAAGATTTATAATTTGTTTACAGTTTTAAATTTTTAAAATAAATTATCCAAACACAAGAAGGACAGAATGACAAAAAATGCATTTTGTTGCCATTGGAAACAAACTTTTTTTTCTCATTTATTTTGAAACAGATCATTGAGATTATAACTGAAATTTATATCTGTATAATTCTTCATCTTCCATGTAGAGAACAAAATACACAGTGGGATCTGGTGAATGTTATGTACTTTTACTATATTCACACGTGACCATTTGCCGTATCTAGTATTGTTTTCCATGTAATTTCAAATATTTGTACTTTGTCAGTGCTTTTCAGCTTCCCATCAGAGTTCATCTGGCTTTTCCATCTGAGAGAAGCGTTTCTCTCATTAGTAATTTGAAAAGTATGACTTTGAGTTTCGTTGCAATCTCTGTATTATTTATTTTCTATATCAGAGTTAGTTTTTTAATGGTTTTTTTTCTTTTATTATTTTGCATTTATCTTTTCCACAATGATTGCATGATACTTTTTTTTTTTTCATTTAAATGACATGTTCCATTTTACAGTTTTGTAGGTAGGGAGCTCCTCTCACTTCCTCCTCCCACTTCCCTGGCGTTGTCCCCTGTGTTTTACAAGATGGTCCCCCAGCAGCGTCCTCCCTCAGCTTCAGCGTTCTGCCCTTGATGTGTGTCGTGACACTGGAGGTACAAGCAATGCCAGAGTCTAGCGTTTTGTTGTCTAGGTATATCTAACAGTTTTATTGGAGGCTTCCTTCTAGTCAGGATCTTTGATTCCTGGTACTCTGCTCTCCATAACATCACTCGTTTGTGAGCTTGCACGTGTATACCTGTTTTCCGTTCTATCTGTTGGTTTTGTATTCTGGATTAAAGCTGTCTTATATCAGGGCAAAGTGTGGTATCTGTCCTTTTGGTGATGGTTTATTTCACTAAGCATAATGACCTTCAGGTGGTATGGTTTCATTCTTCTTAATGGCTGAGCAGTATTTCATAGAGTATATGTGCCACAGGCTTTAAAAAATGTTTATTTTATTTTTGATGACTTTTACATAGTTGATTAGAACGGGAGGGGCCAAGGATTACAGGAAGACGAGTGAGAGCATTGTTTCCATAGTGTTTTATTTCCTTCCTGTATGTGGGGGAAGAGGGGAGAACAGAGGAGAAGACACATCTAGCCTCCCAACTGCCTCTACCCTGGGATGGGGGACAGCCGCGCAACGTCATCACAGGGTCCCCAATGTGGGGCATGCTCCAAGGGTCCTGCTCAAGTGGTTTTGATAGTTCAACAGTTCTGAATCACCATCGATTTCTCCACTCCAAGCACGATGAAATCCTTCCAGAATCCACTGGCTGACATAGCCCACCTCAGAGGCTCCATTTGCCGAGATATTCACTGCCAACACTTGGCTGGGGTAGTTAATCAATTTTTTTTCCTTCTTCTGTCCTCTCTTTTGCTACTACGTGTCCTCCATATGCATCTGGTTACACTGTCCACTGCTCTATCTAAGACACCAAGGAGGCCCAGCTCTGACACATGCACTCCATGGTCAGACCATGGAACCTGCAGTTCTCTCTGTGGTTGGAATTCTGTGTCCAGGAGTTCAGTTGGGAAGATTCCCAAAGAAACCTCATCTGAAGTGGTCCTCAAACCGATTCTTGTATGTGCTTGCTGTTATAGGATCTGGCACAGTCCTTTGCCAAAATCATTGGTGGTTGCAATTGCTGGGTCAGTTCCATCTCCAGCACCATCTTCTATGCAAAGTAAGGGGTATAGCAGCCCAGGCTGATCCTGCCCACCACACATGTGGCCCTCTCGTACACCAGAGAGAACTGCAGCCTAGCCAGAGCGACTCCCAATAACTCCCACCAGGCCCACCTCCTATCCCAGTTTCCGTGCTTGCCAGTATACACAGCAGATTGGTCCAGTCTGTCCCACAGCCCATTCAGCTTTTTTACATGTCAATGGGCTTTGAAGCCTAGTTCAATCCAACCAGCCCCACTCTCCAGTCCACACTCGTGCTAGTGGATGCCACTCTCTATCTAGCCATGCCTATTCCTAGTCCTGGTTCTCATGCTCGCCAGTGGGAGTGACAACCCAAGAGGGAGGTGCCCACTGTTTCCTTACGAGGCCCACTCCCACTCCGGGTCTTGCACTGTCCAGGTGGTATTCCAGTTTGGCTTGACAGAATTATTTCCCTGTGTTAGCATCTGCCAGCTGATGCTGAGGCAAAACCCAACCAACCCACAACCACTCTGGCTTGTGCATGTAGGTACAATCAACCCAGCCTGGCTTTTCCCTGATCCAGGTCACATGAGGCCCACAGGTGTTGTAGCCCTGCCTGGATTGGTCTGCCCCCAATCCCAGCTCTCAAGCTCACCAGTGGGAGCAGCTGCTCAGCAGGAGAGCCCCTGGCAACTCCCTATCAGGTTTGCCCTGCTTCTCCCGGGTCTCACGTGTGCTGGTTGGGCACTGTGGCCCAGTCTGGAATAGCCTGCCTCACCTTGGCATTTGCCAGTGGGTGCTGTAGCCTGGCCTGGCCCGGCCCACCCCTGGTTCTATGTCATGCTGATGAGTGCTACAGCCTAGCCAAACCCAGTCAGTCCTGGCCCCAATGTGAACTGGCTGATATTGCAGCTTGACCCAGCATGTCCTTCACTCCATTCTGGTTCTTGGATCTGACAGCAAGTGATATGAACTGGTGCAGCCTGGCTCACCCCAGACCTGAGCCAAATATATGCCAGTGGGCACTATAACCTGGCTTGTCTGTGCTGCTCCCCGTTGGGACCACCTGGACAGGGCTCCTGGGCCTCTGAGGCTCCACCTCGGGGAGATTTGACCCTGGCCACTGGCGGGGGGCAACAGGGTTGGTTCTTCTCTCCCTTCTCGCTTTCTGCAAGCCACTTCAGATCAAGAGCAGGAAGCTCTCCTGGTTCCTCAATACACCGTATCTGTACTGCTCCAAAGTCTCAGGTCCAGTCCAAGAGTGGAAGCCAGCAGTCGGAACTCCCGCCGCTCATTTCCATGCTTTCCCAAAGCTGCTGTGACCACCTCCACACCCCGCTGACCCTGGAACTGTCAGAATGACCCAGCCCCGCCCCACTTTTCAACCCTGAGAGATTAAAAGGGGGAACGTTGCAATTATTAGATTTCCCATGCCAGGCCCCACAGAAATCTAACCTCTGGTCCAGTCTTTGACAAAAAATATATTGCACAACTGTTGTGCCCAGGCTTAATTCCAGGCAGCAGTAATGCAGACAGCAAAGTGCCCTCATTTGGATGGGGACTATATAATAAATAGGTACAGTACAAAAAAATGGGAGAGGTTGTGTCCTGACAGAGGAGTTCCCCAAGCTCCTCCGTCAAAACCTCCCTCCCTGGCACATGTGCTGGCCTGGTACCTTACTCCTCCACACACTCAAGATCCATGCCAACTGTAGTTCTCCAGGCCTGGTCTGCCAGCACACCATGGCAGTGTGCTGACCTGGGGCTCTCCCCTACCCTCTCTTCACCTTGCCTGGGACCAAGCACATGGGGAAATCCCCAGGTTTGCTCCACCTTCCTAGAGGTGAACTCCTTGGTCTCCACATGCCCCACTTGCGCTATACCCCAACCCTCCCCAACCCCCAAGCCCGTATCCTTAGCCCCCCACAGGCCGCTGCTGCCCCCGGCCACCTGACAGGTGTGAGAATGGCTGTGGTCATACCACAGTTTGTTTATCCAGTCCTCTTTCAATGAACATTTAGGTTGTTTCCATAGTTTTGCTATTGTTGTAGGGTTGCAGGTTGCTTTCTCATATATAGGTATCCCAGGAGAATTGCTCGGTCATATGATGAATTTTGTTGCCTGAGTATTCTCCACACTGAGTGACTTCCTGAGTGGCTACACCCACAGTTTACACTCCCAGCAAGTGGAGTACCTTTTCCCCCACATCCTCACCAACAGTTGTTAATAGATTTTTGTATGTGGACAGTTCTCACTGGGGCTAGGTGGTTCCCTCTTTTGTACCCACTAGTCCATGCTCTGTGGAAGAATTCCAGGCTTTCCCTAAGACCTGAGACTCTGTCCAGGCACTCTCGCTGTTGATTCTCTGGACCTCTTGTCCATCAGCTCAGCTGTGGCTGCTGAATTGGCCTGGCTCTGCATGCATGCAGAACAGTGGAAACTGTTTCCCGGCCATACAAAAGCTCACTCACAGGGCTCACCTCACTGATTGCCCTGTCTCAGGGTTCAGTGTGCTGCACTAATAGTGTCTGATTGGCTGTTTCATAATTTCGGCTGAATTTTTCAGTTAGAAGGGTAAATCTAGTGTGCTGCTTTGTCTTAGCCACAACTGAGAGTGTGTTGTATGGTATATGCGTGTGTATGAGTGTACTTTTTATATATATATGTATTTGAAAGGCAGAGTGGGCTGGGCCCAGAAGCGTGGCCTAGTGGCTAAAGTCCTTGCCACTATTCAGTCCGATTTTGTTTTGCTAAGGGGATGTATAGTAACTGTGTAATGGAGACTATCATATCTAACACATGTAACTTCATGGTGTTGCAAATTTCGTTTTTTCTTCCTGTTGTTGATTTTGCATTGTGGCTTTTCATTTAAGGGGATGTATAGTAACTGTGTAATGGAGACTGTCATATCCAGATGTGAGGATACAATGCAGTCTGCATCTCTACTTCCAAACAAAGATGGACTCCCAATGAAACTGTTGACTGTATCCTCACAATAGGATGCTGGACTCTCTGCTGTTGTCCATGCCCACAATGATGGACTTATGACTATTTATGAAGAACTATACTATAGTAATAATATAGGGGAACTCAATGGGTAGTTGGGGAGGGATCATGAAGAGGGGGTAAGGGAAATCCCAGGCCTATGAAACTGTATCATAAAATGAGGATAATAATTTAGAAAGTCGTTTACACACACACACACACACACACACACACACACACACACACACACACACACAAGCCTCTAAGTATGTTAGCCAAAGTCAGCCATAAGTGAGAAAAGATGATTGCATTCAGCCTCCGCATTTCACGTTTTAATTTCCTCAAGTCACTAATTCATTTTTCCAGTTGTTGTTTCAAGTGCTGTTCTGGATATCTCATTAGAACTTACAAACATTGTACAGTAAAGTGTTTCTAGAAATCATTTTTTAGTTCCTGCTGCAGGAATTGTCTTCTGTGGTATTGACATTAGGCTAGTAATTTGTATACCATTTTATCTTCATTGTGATCTTTTTGATCAAGATTGTGCATGTATTGTGTTATTTATGTATATGTATATTGTGTTTATTTTAAAATTATGCTTCTTTCAAAGTGGAAATAGTTTTGGTAATCATGGACCATGATATTCAAGAATTTGTAGGGGGCACGGACGGTTCCCTAGCGGCTAAAGTCCTCACCTTGAACACACCAGGATCCCATATGGGCACCAGTTCTAATCCCAGCGGCTCCACTTCCCATCCAGCTCCCTGCTTGTGGCCTGGGAGGGCAGTCGAGGATGGCCCAAAGCCTTGGGACCCTGCACCCAACGTGGGAGACCTGGAGGAACTTCCTGGCTCCTGGCTTCAGATCGGCGCATCTCCAGCCGTTGTGGTCACTTGGGGAGTGAATCATCGGATGGAAGATCTTCCTTTCTGTCTCTCTTCCTCTCTATGTATCTCTGACTTTGCAATAAAAATAAATACATCTTAAAAATGAAGAATTTGTAGGGTTACAAGTTGGTGTCCTGAAGCCAGAGCTTTTACTCATTTGGCCTGCCAACTCTCTGAGATACATTCTTTGCTGCTTCTGTATGCACCACCTATTTCCTGAATTCCAAGTGCACAGATCAGAATTTTCAGTATTTCTGCTTTTTGGGTGATATGCCTCTATTGATTCCCAGCCTAATTAAGGAGTTTATTTGCAGCTTCTCTGAATCTAAGTGTCGCATGCAAGGCAGAAACACCACATTTGTAGTTCCAAATGTGTATAACTGCTTTAGATATTTCTGAATTCTTTTCATTATCTACAATGTACACGGTGTATGTTATCTTTTTAAAAAACATTTTTCTGTTGAAGGAATCGAAATAGAAACTCAATATTAGTAGCTGTAAGAAAGTCAGCAAATATTTTAATTTGGAAAAATGTAACAAGGTCTTTAATGTGAATAAAGGAATTCTAAAGTACAATGGTTGAAACTAAGTATTTAGTATGGTAAGGACACAAAGCATCCCCGTGCTGACGCTCTCCTCACTGAAATACTTGAAATTTGCACTCATTGAGAATGAACATGAGCCAACTAAAATGTCATTTATTTGTGGCTCTGTTCAGTGGCATTTGGGTACTATGTGTAAGTAGCTTATGCTATTAAAGATAAATGCTGTTGATTTTATTCACAAAGTTGATTAGCTTCTTTTGTATTAATGGAAACATAATTTTCATTTTTTTTTTTTAGGTCAACATCAGAAGTTAGCACTCACACACATACCAGCAAGTAAGTATATTAGAAAGTCTTTTTACGATGAGAATCAACTAATAATTCACAATCAGATTCTAAATCTTTTTTTTAAAAAAAGATTGCTGTTCACACTCAGAGGGAATGTCAGGTAGATCTTCCACCTACCGTTCCACAACAGCCAGCACTGCGCCAGGCAGGAGCCAGGCTCCAGGGGCATCCTCTGCATCTCTCATAGAGATGGCAGGGTGCAGACACTCGATTTATCCTCCACTGCTTTCCCCAGGAGATTAGCAGCAAGCTCTGCTAGAAGTGGAACAAGCAGGACACGAACCAGCATCTGTATGGATGCCAACATCACAAGGGGGCATCTTTACCTGCTACAGACACCACACGGCCTCAGTTCCTAAATATTTTTGATGACCTTAGTTGATAACATAATGCAGATTACTTATACATGGTAGTTTGGATTCTATAGATTACTTACACATGGTAGTTTGGATTCTAATAAACAAGTGTTTCTTCCTTTAATAACTTTATTAAAAGTCTGTCTGATAAAATGAGAAATAGCTGCCTCAAAAAGGAGCTAATGCATGTACAATCAGTGAAGAAAAGGAATAGAATGTTAGCCAACTTGGGTTACACAAGTCCAGTGCTTGGGTAAGCAAGAAAAAGAATCCTGAAGTTTCATTGATTGTGGTAGAAATCATGAGCCCAAATCTGTAAATTTCTCTAACAGCTTTGGACTGAGGAGAACTAAGTCTTCGGTTCTTTTTATCTCCACTAAATTGCATTGCGTCTCCCATTGTTTATTTCTTTTTTAATAATAAAAATGTACATTTTTTATGGAGAAGAGTGATAATTAAACATGCATTTAGGGTAAACTGATCAAAATAGGAAATTAGAATAAAAGCCTGGTGTTTCCTTGCTCTCTCATTATGCTTGGTGCTAGTTGTTCAATGCAGTGTGTAGTGTATTCAACTGCAGTAGCTCCACAGCCCATGTGGAACACTGGAGATAATTATGTATCTGTAACATGTTTGGTACTTTTTATCCAGGATCATTCTACACTCTTCCCAGTCTCCAATAATCGCTATTATTATGTCGTATTTACTATTGAGAACATGTGGCATTATCTTTCTGTTGTCTGCTAATTTCAGTTAGTAAAATGACCCACAGTTCTGTACAGTTTCCTGCAAATGACAGCAATTCATTTTTATGAATGAATAATATTAGTGTATGTACATCATGTTTATTTACTTATCCGTTCATCTGCTATGGACATCTGGGCTGATTGTATGGATTGGCCATCCTGAGGTTTAGCAATGACATATGAAGTTCATTTTTGTCTGCCTTAGACCCAGGAGTGGAATAGCTAGGTCACGTGGTAGTTCTACATTTAGCGTGTTGTGGACACAGTGCTGTACTGATGTGCATTCCCACCAAGGGGTTGTGGGATTCTCTTTGCCCCATGTTCCTGGAGGTCTCCTTTTATTTGGGAGTAGAGATGTTGGTCTTGTATATTTTTTAATGCTATGGAACTTGAAAACCTTCATCAGACACTCAAATCCAGCATACATTTTGTGCTAGCAAATACTCAGGAGAAAAAACAAGCCTGACTTTCTGCTCTGCGCCCTGGTTGGGAGTGTGGTAATTATACCTGACAGGCTCGGAATATTGGTCAATAGATTGTACTTACTTGAGTATCCTAATTGAGGGGTTTTGAAAAAAAGTACTGGGTATTGGTAATTAGTGTTATTCAAGAGGTACTACATGTTATAAGACTGTCAAGTACTCCTTCATATGGACATCATTAATTGTTACTTTTAATTAAAAGGCATTATTTTTACTCTCATTTTGATCCAGATCAGAAAGCAGCAGCCACAAAGTTACTAGCAAGTAAGTACATAGGAGATATTTCTTACAATCAATATTTGTTAAAAAATCAAAAACAGAATTAACAGCTAAGAATTAATTGTGTAATTCAAATAATCAAATTATACGTCTAAAAATAACTTATTGGAATCTGCCTACCTACATAAATCACTCCTGTCATTTGCTTAATGATGTGCTTTGAGTTTTTTTTTTTTTGGAAAATAATGGGATAAATGATTGGTGAAATGTTTCAAGTGCTGATTCACAAACACAATATTTCTATAATTTTGTCCTGGAGCACACAAATGAAAATTGACATCTTTACATGTAAAAACTCAACATATGTACTCATGAACCACTGAGTTACGCATGTCCCAGTGAGTTGGAGACAATCTGCATAAGGAAAATCCCTTTAAGGGCTTAAGAATTTGACACGTTCCCTAGGTGCCCCAACTTGCAACAGAGTATTCACTTAGTCTACTACCATTAGCTGAAAGAAGAATGTCTCTACAAATAATCTAAATAGTTGTTTTGCTTATCAACCTCAACAGTGCTGGGTTTTTTTGTCTTTTTGCCATCATAAAATATTTTGTAGTTTTCACCTCTGGGTTTCTAAGTTACAATCCTTATTTATGTGTATAACAGATTAGTGATTTTCGACAGCATTTCTCCAATTGCATGGCAGTAGCTCTCTGGTCTCAAGAGTTTTCCATGAAGTGACTATCAAATACTTGGCATGGCATATTCTTTGACCCATGAAACTGCTTCCATCTTTCAAAAGCTACAGGTTTGGCTCTGGCAAGGGATGATCTGTGAGTTAGGATCAACTGGAGTGGACTGGATATCCTCTAACCTGTATGGCAGAACAAGCTTCTCTTCTTTAACAAGTGTTCCTTCAAGTGCCATATGGGGCTTCCAGATTTGTGCTGTGGGGAACCCAGAAATGGTTCAGCCTGATGGAAAAGTTGCTTGAACATACAAATTTGTGTTGGAGGCCTAGAACAGGGATATGATATTGTGATAGAAACAAACAAATCTATATTTTAGTTTGCAGTCCCTGAATTTGCATTCTAATGGTTCCAGGAATGGTCCATTTTGAAACAAAGATGGCTCCTCAGGAAAAGCTTGCTCTTGGCTGACTCACCAAGAGTTACCACGAAGTTCAGGCTTATCTGCCTACCATGGGGTAAACACAAGGATGACATATTGAAGCAAAGCAAGCGAGTTTATCTGTAGCACTAATAAGTTGAGGCGTTGAAAGGATTGGTGTCCCAAAGAAGCCTTCTTGTTTGTTCCTTTGTAACTAGCAATTTTTAGGTACTAGTGGCAGAAAATGAAGAAGACAAGGCAACGACTGAGGAAACTCTGTAGACACCTGTATTTACAGCCAGCCAGGGTCCCAAAAGGGTAATGCGCGTGGCCAGTTCAATTTAGATATATGGTCTGCTCTAGCTACTCCTGGACAGCCTTATCAAAGCAATTATTTCTGGGCATAATTCCTTGTCTTCTCAGTGGAGGCAAGCCTGGGTGAGGGCTTCCCTGCAGAAACCTCCAGCTGCAAGTGGAATTGTCCTGGTGACAGATATGTATGCATGCAGGGCTGACCCAAAGGTGGAAGATAGCAAAGGAGACAGTGGCAACAGGAAGGGACAGCTGTCATTCTTTTGTACTGTTTCACGTCTAACTTTCAAACATGTCCATGTCTTCAACTACTTCCCCGGGGGGTGGGGGGAGAGTAACTAGAACCTCAACTTTAACTCCCCCTTTGCGTCTGAGCTTATAGTTTTTTTATGCTTAAAAACTATGGCTGTTAATTGGAGTTTTCTGTTAAATTACATGCCATTTTAATCAGTTTTGTTGTATTGTATTTAATAGAAGGTGACGGTTATTCTGTCAGTAAGTCGTGCAGATTTTGCTGAAGTAAATAAAAGTTTAAAGTTGTATATCATCAAAGAAAGCTAATTTTAACCTTAAGGGCCAGAATTAGGAACTTAGAGTCAAATTTACATGTTGTGTTTAATAGCGATAAGAAAAAAACACACACACACACACACTTTTGTCTTGATTTTCTTCTCCACTGGAGAACTTTAATTTTGTATCTTATATTTTACTTGGTATTTGAGTATACAACATTACTGGCATGTCAGAAATGTTAAAAGAGCTAATTTTGGTACAAAATCTTATGTTCTTTATTCTAAAAGTAGGCAGGTTTTATCATAGTAACTTTTACACATTATGTTTTTTTAGGTCCAAGTCAGAGGATAGTACTCAAGAGGAAGTCAGCAGGTAAAATAACTTGTAAATAAATATACTGAAAAACAAAAAATGAAAAAGTTGAGAATTCACAAATATGTATGCTCAAGAATTTTTGAATAGTCACAATTTGTAAAAGAGTGTAATCATATTGCTCATATTTCTGATTCTAGGAATTAATATCCATTATTTAAAACTTTCTTCTTCAGCTGACTAAATTGTATTAATTGGTCACGTTTGTGATGAGACAGGAAAACTTAATGAGACAAGATGTTTATAAATGAATCCATAAACTGATTGTTTTTTCCCCATTAATGGCAACATTCCTAAAGGAAAATGGTGTTTGGTGTGGGTTGCATTTAGACCTGTAAACCAGACGTGAATCAATGAGCCCCCCGCTCCCCTACTTGGGAGAAGTTTATATGAGACAATATCATAAGCACCCTAACATCCATCATTTCCCACAGACCATCAGGAGTCCACAGTTGGGTTTACGAGGATGTTCTGGTTTCTCTTTCGGTTCCCTGCGTTCCACAGTTAATAGCTTTGTGGTCCTTCCGAAGTGATCAGTCACGTATCTGCTCATCTACTGTAAGGTTTTCATGTGTCATCTGGTACATTTCTCTTTTTTTCTTGAAGCAACTTCCAGTTACTTTCGATCCAGTTCTCCTCCAGAATATGTTTTAATAGCCACAAGGCAATTCTGGGCTGCACTAGACTATACAGTGTCTCTCCTTCCTGGCAGAAGTCGGATGCTACAGAGCTTCTACGCTGTATACACTCTCTCTGTTGTTCCTGAATCTCTCTTGACATAGACTTCAATTGCTTTCTAGAAACCCTGCACAGGAATAAAAGCTGATTTTGTTTTTTGGCCTCTTGTCTCTGTCACTGTCCCCAGGGAAGTTGTGGTACAGCGTTCCAGCCATGCAGAGTTCTCTCAACATTTCACTCACACAGGGGCATTTATATTCCAAAAGAACCTTGGTATAATGGCCCTGTTTATTTTGTTCCTCAGTTTATGGGTGGTAGTCTGCATGAGAAATGCTCATAAAGCATCACTCTTGAGTTTCACATATGTGTGTTAATAGTCCAGGAACTCCGCTTGTCCCCTCACATGATCTCTGTCATAGACTGTGACACCCACAGCATCATCACCATCTACAAGTTGTTGGTGTTCATCTGCACTGATGAATAGGTAAAGATCTCAGCTGTGGGACAGTATCCACATCGTTCGAAGAATATAATTTAGAGTGCTATCCCATTGGTCTATCTTTTTTTCTTTTCGCAGACAGAAAAGCATGCTTGCATTATTCTTTCATTTAAATGTAGTTGGCTAAACAGATACAGTGCTTTAGTATCCCACCATTGGTTGTGTTTTCTTGTGTATTGTTTTTTTTTTAAATATGTCTGCTTTCGAAATTCAGTGTTTCGGAAATACAGAGATGGAGAGGTAGAGAGAGAGAGAGAGAGAGAGAGAGAGAGAGAGAGAGAATATCTTCCATCCTTTTCAGTTTTACTCCTCAGTTGGTCACAATAGTGGCTAGGGTTCAGCCAAGCTAAATTCAGGATCCAGGAGTTTCTTCCATGTCTTCCCTGTAGGTGAAGGGGCCCAAGCATGTATGTCATTTTATGCTGCCTTTTCCATGCTGTTACCAGGGAGATTTGTTAGAAATGAAGTAGCTAGGACATGAATTGTGCCTACATGGGACGCTGGCATTGCAGGGGGTGGATTTACCTGCTATGCCTCAATTCTGGCCTCTGTTCTTTTTGAAAAAGTATTTTTTTAAAAAAAATTATTTATATTTATTGGAAAAGCAGATTACAGAGAGAAGGAGAGATAGAAAAATCGTTCACCTGCTGGCTCACTCCCCAAACGTGTATAAGTGGCTGGGGTTGGGTCAATTAAAAGCCAGGAGCAAGGAACTTCCTCTGGGTCTCCCACATGAGTGTAGGGTCCCAAAGCCTTAGGCTGTTCTCTGTTGCTTTCCCAGGGCATAAGGAGGGAACTGGATGGGAAGTGGAGCATCTGGGACACAAACTGAGTCCCATATGTGATGCCAATACTCAAACGTGTGGAGGATTAGCCAATTGAACCAATGTACTTACCTCCTTGAATATGTATTTCTTATATTGTTTTCTGTTGTAAAGACAGTGGGAAATGTTGGTAGCCAATTTCCTTGGCAGACACAACAAAGATTTTCTTAAAGACAGAGATCTTCATAGGAGGACACAGAAATCTGTATAAATAAATTTCCTTATTGCTTTTGGGGAGAAGAGCTATAATAAAAAGAGAGTGCTTCTTGAAAAAGCAGTCACAATTTCTGAAGATGCAATGTAACAAAGGTATGAAGATCAGACAATCATTGATTTCTCTTATTAATCTTAATATGTGTTTTCAATGGAAATGATCGTTTTTAAAAATGATTTGTTTTTATTGGAAAGTCAGATATATAGACAGGGGGAGAGATAGAGGGAAAGATCTGTCCATTGATTCACTCCCCAAGTATCCACAATGGCTGGAGCTGCTCTGATCTGAAGCCAGGAGCCCAGAGCCTCTTCCAGGTCTTTCATGCGGGTGCAGGGTCCCAAGGATTTGGGCCATCCTCAACTGCTTTCTCAGGCCACAAGCAAGGAGCTGGATGGAAATGATTCTTGACTGATTTTTCTTTAAATCATTCTTTTTGTTTTCTCCCAGAATACTGGGGATTAGAAATAAGGCTTGTGAAAATAGAAAGAGATGCCTTATAATTTTATTTTGACTTTTGGTAGTCAGTGTAAAAATAGAAAGAGAAAGAAATTATTGTACTAAATAAACACAACTGTGCTTGTATTGAATCAACTGTATCAAATCAATCTGAAAGTGTGATGTCTTTATTTCCTCAGGTCAGACATACAGGAAAGCACCCAAACTAGTAGTAGTAGGTGAGTGTGTCAGCCGTGATCTTAAAATACACACGCATTTGAATTTAAGATGAAATTATTAGGCTACACTTAATTCTTCAATATTGGTTGAGCAAATGTATTGGTGAAATATTATATCAATAAATGATTATGACTTTTTATTAACTTTAAAAGAATGGATATTTAAATCATAGTACTTTCATTAAATGTAATATAGTTTATGGTAAACTTTCTCCTGTTAATAGAGTAAAATTAGAGTTAAATCTAATGTAAGTCCAATAAATTAGCTTATAAAATAAACCCATAAACTATAGCAGGAAAATACTTCAGGTAAATTATTTTTCAACAGTCAAAAATCTGTTGATAACTGAAAACCAAAAAAAAAAAAAAATTGAACCTTAGGTATGAAAAAGTGAAATATTGTCATTTAAAAATTGATTAATATTCATGGAATTTTATGTGAAGGGTATTTTATCATTGTTAATGCTTCCAATTACAAAACGATAGTTCCCTGAAGTCTTGGTGATGAGATTTTTTCACTAAGTAGCACCCCAACTGTGTACCTTGAACATATGTTTTTTTCTCTCTCTCTTTCACAGTAACTAGTAATTCCTTCAAAAGACAATGACAATATCAAGGGCCTCACTGAGAAATGAAAATGCAGCCATTCTGGACCTGGTACAGCGGAAGGAAACAATAAACCGAGTGCGGAACAACTTGTATGCCAACATGTCTGTTTTTCTTTTCCACTTACTCCAACTCAGAATTCAATCCCTGGGGCAACACTTCAGCTGTGTCAGGATCGTTCTTTCTCTTCCTTTTATCTTCCCTTCTTTTCTTTTCTTTTCCCTTCTTTTCTTTTCTTTTCTTCTCTTCTCTTTTCTTCTCTTTTCTTCTCTTTTCTTCTCTTTTCTTCTCTTCTCTTCTCTTCTCTTCTCTTCTCTTCTCTTCTCTTCTCTTTTTTCTCTTTTTTCTTCTCCCTTCCCTTGCTCTTTCATTCCTTTTTTTTGGGGGGGGGGGGAAATTCATGTATTTTTATTTGAAAGACATTTTTGATAGAGAAATATGGAGAGGTAAAGAAAGTCTTCCACCCCTGGGCTGCAGTGGCTAGAGCTGAGCTGATCTGAAGTTGGGATCCAGGAGCTTCCTCTGGGTCTTCCACATGAGTTCAAGGGCCCACAGACTTGAGCCATGCTCTGCTACTTTCCCAGGTCATGAGCAGAGAGCTGGCATGAAAGTGGAGCAGCTGGCATGTAACCTGGCATCCATATGGGATGCAGGTGGAGGATTAGCTTGCCCCCCCTCCCTGTCAGCATCCTTAACTGAAGGCAGTGTTTCAACCTGAGCGTCTCTAGTCCCGTTTAGTTTTTCGATCTCTGGTCTTGGCATGTAAATGGCTCTTCTGCCACCTGCCATCTCCTTCTGATTCACTGTCTCAGGCACCGTACGTATTAACTGCACTCATTCTGTATGGTCTCTGGATGATAGGCCATGTTATTCCTCCTGCATCTTCTCATGAGGCTAGGCTTGCCCCATGGAGGTCCAGCGAAATCACGTGTCCACCCTCCACCCCACCCCCACCCCGCCCGCGTTCTAACCTGAGCTTCTGAGGCAGGCTGTTTGCTTCAGGGACTGTGCTAGTCCGACTAGGATTCTGTGCCCCAGCTAACCTATGAATGGAGTGTGAATTAGGAGAAAGTTTGATTTGTTTTAGCATTATATTTTGTGAAGTAATTTGTATAAAATCATTTATTTCAGCAGTTAAATGTTTTTGCCAAATTCACCAAAGAATTTATTGTGGAACTGAAGATCTGTGGAGGGGTAAGTAAATTACCGCTGGCTTTATTCCCAGCAGCAGGCTCCAAGGTCACTGAGGGTGTGGTGATGCAGTTCTTTGGCTGCAGAACCACCAGGGACAAACTGGTGAGGCATGTTCGTTTCTTCAGCACAAATTCTAGATTTTTAAAGGTTAAGGAAGGGCGGGCATGAGGGCATCTACCTGGAATCCCCTTACCCAATAATGACACGGTCATTGGCTATACAATGCATCTATTTCCCTTGACCTTCCAGTCATGTCAGAGGTCATGCTCCGCATGCGGGGCTGGAACTGGCTCCTCAGGTCAACTGTGAAGCCATGCCCACCAGGTAGGGGGCAGGGGCAGTCGCCCACATCTCCCCACATGTGCTCTTGGGACAAATTCTACCACCAAGAATTCCTCCAAAAGGGCATTCTAATGTCCTGTAATCCTAAAATGTCGGAACAGACTGCGGAGTGTGAAATTCAACACAAGAACATCGTCTGTTATAGCATCACAGTGCAGGCAGCATGCCTGTCACAACGTTAACTGTCCTTGATGTTGAGTCCAATTTCTGTTGGCACAGCGGGTCTATGAAGTAATGGCATAATTTTGAGCTCCAAGGGCACAGGTGGCCAGCGTGATTATGTTAATTACACTGATGGTCTGAGTCAAGGACAGCATAGACATTGCAGCGGAAGCCACCGTGGTCACAAGTGGGACACCAGCAGTGCTGATGAGGCCATGTGCTCACTGTGACCAGTGTAGGATGGGAGAGAGGATCCTGTCATGTGCTTGCTCTTAGGGTCCCTTCCGTTTGCCATTCAGCAGGATTGGAATCCATAGTGCTGGCACCATCCTTGTCACAAGGATTTTAAAAAACGTATTAAACTGCATGTAATTAAATAACACAAGTGGTGATACGTTAAATGAATATATCACTAATCCAGTAAAGGCTACATGATTGCAAATGCACATGTGGTCACTCTGAACCACGTGTAGGGTCAAGGAGGCCACACACTGAGGAAATTAAAAGGTAACTTTACCAGGGACCGGAGACCCTAACTGCCTATTATCCCATTTGACTCCTCACATCTCCCCTCTTTGTCCCCTTTTCCCCTGAGAATGGACCCTAGCTGCTATTACGACCACTCTGGCTGCTTCATGCTGAAAAGGGGCATTGAAAGGCCAGGGACGTCAGCAAGGCATTCTCCAGGGGTCAGTCCAGCAGTCCCTGATGGAAGGTACAAGTCATCAGGTGTCTGAAGTATTGATTGGAGCTTGGAGGCTTCTTTTTTTTTTTAAAGTCTAAATTACAAAACATAACACAGTTATAATTTCTTCCAAGCTAGTATGTCTTTAGGGCTTAGGTTTAAATCTCTGTCACAGCAAATGTTAGACCTGGCTACACTAGATGAAAATTTATCACCAATTAACTCAATAAAGGCAGCAAAACACATGAAGCATCCCTGAGGTGTGCAGGATTATAACCTAGGTTGGTTAAGAGGCACAGGAACAATAAAAAGATTTCCATTAACAATAGGTTGTAAGTCTATCATTTAATTTCAAAGTTTCCAAGGAATCATATTATCCAGCATTAACAGTTTTGAATTTAGGAAAAATCTTTTGGAGGATAAAGAATTTTAACCTCTTGTCGATTAAACTTATTTGAAGCAAGAAATATGCCAATTGGTTAGAGCCTCCAAAAACAATTATACTTTACCAATTTTTGTAAATCCTAAAATCTCACAAAAACAATTATCCTAGAACATAAAACACAACAACAAAGCACTTGTTGTAAGACTTAGATAACAGAATTTTATACACTCTAGGACAGAGGAAGGCAATTAAATAATTCTACAGTTCTAACAAGCCATATATTAACAAGTAGAACGGGATCATCTTGGGTAGGTGAGCAGAGAAATCCTCAATAAGTTAGCAAATGAGGAAGACATGAACTCTGCATCAGAACAGTAAGGGTGTCCTGCCTCAGTGGAGTCTAGCAGAAACCTAAGAGGGACACTGGCAAATAGCCTCACAGGGGCCTGGCCAATGGTAGAGGCTAACTAGTGATAGGAATAGGGCAGTCAACTTCTGTGGATGTTCTGTCTATGTTAGTTTCTATCCCTGTTCTAAATAAGAACAGTGGTCTATAACTGAGCGAAGCTGGGGCTCCTGAGAGAACCACTCTAAGAGGAACTCTATCTAAGAGGAAAGGGTACCAAAGCAAGGGCGAAGGACAGAGAAAACTGCTCTCCCATGTCCAGAAGGAAACATAAGCTTCCCTTCACCATGAGAACCACCTGGAGCCCCTGGCTACTGATTTGGTGTGGGACAGGAGTCTGGAGGATCCTGGGCTGCTTCAGTCTGTGTAAGAGACCCGATGGGAAATGACTGACCCGAGGTTCTTGGCCTTTGAGGGCAGTCAAACCTCCAGTGATCTCTTTGGCAGTTGGCACGTGGTCCTGGGTGTACTTCTTGACACAAAATCCCTGGCAAAGGGTCTATTGCTTCTGCAGCAAAGGCTCTTGCAAGGCCTCTGAGGGTCTCACTGGGACCAGGATTACAAACCTCCTCACTTCCTCCTGCTCTACTCTGGGATCTCCTCCTGGTCTGTAACAAAGGACCAAGTGACCACCTAAGATCTTGTCAGTGTGCTCTCAGGTCCCACTGTAAATCTCTATAGATTTTTTTCTTAATGTCCAGGGCATAAACCTCGAGATTAGGGGTTACATGCAATGCAAGTTAAAGACAAATTTCATCTTGCTTGCAGTATTAATTCTGACTCATTCAGCCATATAAGAACCCCAGAAAAACTAAATAACAGAGGTGTAAATCACCTAGGGGAATGTGTGAAAGACATGTATTTCTATCCTTGTACCAATTTGTGTTAAATTATGTCCTCAAGCCACGAAGGAAAATTGATCAAATCACTTTAGTTTATACTATAAGAATGTCATTTTGCTTTTTTAAGTTTTAGGTGTATTCCCCAATTTTTGAAAGTTTGCAAGATTATAAATACTGAAAAGTTGTGTTTGTTATTGAAATGATAAATAAAATATGGGTAATGAGTTTATTTTCCCTCAGGAACAACCTATGTGCCTTTGATAGTACAAATGTTGGAGTTAATCTGGTTAGTTTGGCAGCGTCTTGAACCACATATCCCCTTTTTCCATCTTTCCTCTTAATTTTCACGTGTAATAATTGCTCTGTTAATGGCAATTTGAACAGTTTCACTAATCCATCTCTAAGTTCGAAATAATTGTCCAGAAGATAGTTTTGTTATACTTACGATGCATAGAATTTTCTCTGAGTTTTGATGAGACATCTGAAACGATAATGACGATAGGACTTAATTACACAGATAATAAGAACAGGATTTTCTCAATGCAGACATACAAAAATTGAATGCTTCAGCTTTTTTTTTTGGTAAATCACTTGATAAATAACTTGATGTTTATGAATGCAAATTATTTCCTGATGAACAAAGCTCAACAGAAAAGCCACCTGAGGAGGCCTTTAGTGTGATAGTTAAGAATCTGTCATTTATGAATCAACTGTTTCCTTACATAGTTAGGATCTGAGAATTTAAAAAATCTTCTTCAAACATTCTAAGCTGGGAGCCTTCTCAGTGGTCCCGGTCTATTAGGGTTTATTTAATTCAGGAGGTCAGGAACAGTTACTGAGTGTTATACACCAATTCTTTGAGATTCCCTGCATCACCTGGCGTTGGGAGGGGCTGGCCTCCTCCTCTTCCATTGTCTCCTTAAGGGCGGGTCTTGCAAGGCCAGGTTACAAAGTTGTCTTGTTGGAGGGGCATCCTCTGGTGGAGGGGGTCCAGGGTTTGACATTATGTAAAAGACAAACATGTGCAAACACACACACACACAGTTTTAGAGATTTCAAAATTA